CGGAGGTTCGTATACGGTTTATATTATAGGAGCGCATATGCTGTTGCGAATGGCGTAATGCCTGACTACACGTATGAGGGCTTTGGGGCTCAAAATGAAAGCTTTCAACCAAACTAAGCAGGGGAGACAGGTATCCTGTCGTAAGGGTCCGAGTTGCGGTTCCATGTTAGTTTCGGAGGGTCCTTCCGCCCTTAAGACTACACCCTCGAACCTCCAAACCTTCACGATCCCTTACTAATCCCAAACAAGGAGCTTTGCTCCAGTTCGGGTTCTACCCTAAGTGGGCTTGGGGCTTCGGGTCAAAACGGTTTCAGGTGCTAACCCCCTGAATCACTGAACCCGTCATGAAACAAAAGGGTCCCGTAAGTTCAGGGTTTAGCACTTCAGGGTTCAGAAAACCAAACTCCAGTGGAGTTTTCCCGCTCCTGACTGCTCAACCCTAAACCCTAAACCCCTAAACCCTAAACCCCTAAACCCTAAACCGTCTTAGAGGAACCCTTCTGGGGCCCTTAAAAAGACGCTCTCCGAGGCAACGGGCGCTGAAGTCTTCGGTGCAGGTGCCGGCGCTTGAAATCCCCTGAGCTTCGGACGAGGCTTGCTTTAGGGTTTAGGGTTTAGGGTTTAGGGTGTTCCTGGATAAGGCTGCATAGGACCTTAACAAGTAGGTCAGGGCATGGGTTCTACTATTAAACTATACCATAAGGGTATATAATAAGCAGCCTGCTAGTCGCTCAGGTCCCCTATACTACACCCATAGCTCATAACCTACTATTTTGCAGGGTCCTTGTTGACCGAGCCAACTTATGACTACGGTTCTTTGATCATTGATAGGGAAACAAAGGCAGCTAAGAAAACGGAAGCGCAAACGAGGGAAAGGGTGCATAGGTCTTTGGTGCCTTTCCCGATAGCATTCCTGCAGCTTGCACTGGGGCAACGAACCTTCCCCAGGAAACCATATAATGGAGGACTACGCCCGCTCCGTAGCAACCCGCAGTCCTGGCAACAGTCCTCCTCCAGGACACCAATCAAAGTCTGTTGCCCAACACTGCGTCGCCCTAAACCTGATACCCCGAAATCCTAAACCCCAAGCCTCAGAAACGAATCGTTTCTCCCTAAACCCAACAAGCCCCAAACGCCAAGCCCTCATCGAACAACCCCGAAACTAAAGCGAATCGAATTAACTACCCACACCCTATAATCCCCAAGCCCTAATCGCGAAATCCAAACCTAAAAGCCCCAACCCTGAAACCCCATAGTATAACCCTGAATCCTACCCTCCAAACCTCTTCACTGAAAACCCCGATAGACTTTCACCCCAAAGTTTGCCGAGGAGGCGGCGCAGGTGGCGGAGCTGAAGCATACCCGGCAGTCGGCCTCGAATTGATCTACTGGTAAGGGCCTTACAGTTGGAATACAGTTTTGGGGTCTATAATACCATGATATGCTACGGACCCTAAGGGAATCTCATGAATGCTCATTGCGACCCTATGTTACTTGCTTGCTCGAATCGTCCGTTGAGTACGAGGCTTAAGGCTTAAGGTCTAGAACCAAGAACGAGTGTTCGTACGTCCTCTGAGGTGAATTAAATCGGCCGAGCGAGCCCGAAGATTGCAATAAGGGGCTCTATCCTCAGAGGCTGGTTTTTGTGGTATCTGATACGAGTAGTATGGCTCCAATAAGGTGCCCCAAGTAACTAACTGACTATGACAATAACTCTGGTAAGGGTAGTGTGGGACTATTACCCCTAAGGCTCCATGTACCCATATAGCATATACTTAGGCCTTGAAGTACCTATATAGGGACCCCCTTTAAGGCTTAAGTATCTACTTTAAAGGTACATGGAGCCTTTGGGTACAGTGTTTTTGTGGTATACAATACTGTACAGCTCCGAACTCCCCAAACTGTAAATATAGTAAGGAACCCTTAAAATAGTATTGGTAATAATTACTACTAAGGTGCCGCTGGCAATGGACTATTGCAGTAACTACTCAGGCTTCTACATGGGTGGTTGTCAAAATTAGGGTCCCTGTTTGGGTACCCTAGTAGATATTAGGTGCCGTACTATAATAAGGACCCAAAAGGGGACCCTAATTTTCTATAACAAGGACTCAAAAGGGGACCCTAATTTTCTATAACAAGGACCCATAAGGGGACCCTAATTTTCTAGAACAAGGACCCATAAGGGGACCCTAATTTTCTATAACAAGGACCCAAAGGGGACCCTAATTTTCTATAACAAGGACCCAAAAGGGACCCTAATTTTGACAACCACCCACATTACCGGCTCCGAGGATTTGACTGGGCTCCGCCGGCGCCGAACTGCCCGGGCCTGGAGGCAGCTTGGAGTAATAATGACAGTCATACAGTAGCAGCAACAACAACTACTACTAATACTAGTATCTTTTTTATCTATCATGCAATAGTAACAATGCAATAGTAACAGTTCCATAATAATCGAAGGAATAGTAGTGATAATAGTACGAATAACGGTACTAGTAGAAGAAGAAGGATGACAATAGTTATAGTAATGATGAAGCAGGACATGTATAACAACCATACTAACCATAGTTGCGGCAAGACGCGTCTCAGCTGCATGTGCTTAGGGTTTTGGGTTTCGGGGGCATGGGGGGGTTAGGTTGAAGGATCTAGGGGCTTGGGTTCAGGATTTGGTGCCTAAACTTCCCCAAAGTTGAACTACTCTGTCCCGGGGGGCGCGGCATCTGCGGCTGATTCGCCGGCTGACAAATCCGCGGTTGGTCGGTCTGGCGAGGGGCATGCATAATGTAGGGGCCTTGATAATTAGACTAGGGTGTTGGGCTCCTTGATAGTATATTTACAATAAGGAACCCTAAGGAAGAGTATTTAGTCCCCTATATGAAGAAGCTCGGCTTGGATATTAAACAATGGGCAGTTTTCGTCAAACTACTGTAACCATAAAACGCTGCTTATCGTAATGCTTTTCTTGAGTCCTCCTTCTTCTGTTCTTAAGGCTACTCCCTCAGTTCTGCGACGATATCTTTACGATCTATCGCAAAATGCAGCTTTTGCTGCTTGTCAGGGGTCTAGGCCTATAGGTCCTCTTCTAGTTTCAGTTTGACTCAATCGAGTCATGGGAGCTTGGATACTTCCGCTGGATATATATATATATATACATACATATATATATATATATACATATATATCACTTGCAGTCAACACTGGTGAGGACCGTGATCAACAAAGATGGTCTACGAAGCTGATCATGGTGGGGCAGGCCAAGACTTGTGTCCCTGCTAGTTGCTGCAGGCACACTCTGCAACCCTGACACCAACACAGCACAACCGGAAAGAAAGCTCTCCATGAAGCAAAATAGGGTTTGGGGGCCCATTATACGTAGTATAATTCTAAATTATAATGGGCCTTCCAAACCTGAACCCGGCGAGGTGCCTCCTTTGAACCAGCCACCCAGCCCCAAATCGTGTCCACACCATCGAGAACCAAATCGAGTGCGTCGACGGTGGCATCCTCGCGCATGTTTTCAGGGTCAGCGGCATCTGGATGTTGGAATGCAAGGCTGTTGCCTTCAGTGTTGTCGCTGGAGGACTTCAAAGGCACCCAAAACCCGAACACGTGACCCCTGAACCCAATGAAAGCCCGGAAGGGTGTAAGGAGGAACCTAATCTTGCAGAGTTAGCAATGCCTAATGTGACTTGCTTGAGCAACCTCTCCCCAATCCTTTAACTTCTTTCTTGCTCCTCCTCTCAAAACCTCCAGGACCCTGAAGAGCACACACGACAGCCGAAGACCGACAACAAAAGCCTAAATGGCCCTAAATGCAGCCTGAAAAGTGAAAACCTGAAATAGACTACAGCCTCGGAAGAGAATCCCCGCCCTCCAAAGGCCTGGACCCCGAACGAGAGATGAACCCCCTCAGCCTGAAGCTAAAAGCCCTGAGACCCCCAACACTCCTGCAACTCCCACAAAGCCCCAAAAGGCCCGAAAGCCTCCCACCCACAGCCCTGGCAAGGCGCAGGCCTTGAGAGCCCCAACAGCACCCTTCTCCTTGAAATCGTCGACCATGTCGCCTTTTTCGGGGGACGCCAGCGGGAGCACGAGAAGGAGTGACGGGGGGCGGGGTGCAAAATCACGTCTGTGGCCGGTGTGTTTAGACCTTGTGGTTCAGGTTACGAGGTTGCGGTTTGGGCAAAGAGGTCGCAGCACCCCCTTCCTCCATCAAGCGGACCCAACCCAAAAAACGCTTGGCATTTCAGTGTAAGCCCGGAAGCGGAGCCCTGAAACCGTGAAGCCCTAACCCCTCGAGAATCCTGTAGAGGGCTTGGAGAGCAAGGCAGTCTGCCCGGGTCTCAGCGTGGTTGCTTTTTTACCCAAGTGCCGCTTCAGCTTCGGACCATGCCCGAAGAATGTGGCAGTTCACACTTGAGGGCTTCGGAATGCTCGGGGTGAGGGCTTCGAGTGTTTTGTGCTTGAGTGGGCTTCAAGGTTTTATGATGTCCCGGAGGTTAACACCATTACAGCCTTTTGCCTTCTAGTGATTCTAGTAGGGGAAGATCCCCGGGTGGACTGGGAAAACGTGGAGAACATGCCACTGCCACCAGGACACCGATGGAATCGGCGACGAATTCTGCCGCCTGCGAGTAAGCCACCGAGCGTGCGGGCAAACCCCACTGCCTGCATCCTATATGCCCCGCCCTAACGTCTCCACACTCCCAGGTTCGAACCTTTGGAACACTCCGAGTGACCAAGGCACTAGGGCACTCTCGTGACGAGTTCTGAAAGTCTGAGCCGAGGATAATGTGAGCAGACTTCGGCTAAACCGAAGACCCTCTAAAAGAGTTTCGAACAGGAATCTGGGAAGTGCATTGCGCATCCTGATTGCCGGAAAAAGTATCAGCACACGGGCAAAGATGAGACAGGTCCGGTGTCCATCGGCCTTTCTGCCGGTTACGACAGTTGCCCATCGTCTGCCCCATTTAGACAAGCCGGCCTCTGTCATGGCGGGCTTAATTGAGATGAAGGCCATTGAAAAGGTGGACGCCTGTTTCTGAAGCAAGCTTCTCCAACACCAGGTCTGCTTGTCGCGGTTCCCCCTGCTCCTTGAGAAACTCCGCCAAGGTGTGGCAATACCGCTTCGTCAAGAAAGCCGTGGGGCCATGGTGCCTCCAACTTTCTGTAGCACATTCCACGTAGAATCGCAGCGCTTTATCGGGGTCGCCCATCCTTGCTCTTATCACAGCCCGGTCGTGGCGGTACTTCAGATCCCAAGGGTGGCCAATTTTTTGCTGGTTGACTTTGTCAAGTTCGCGTGCTGCCCAAGCTTCTGTGTGATGTTCCAGGGCCTCGTCATGGTGCCCTCTTGCTGACAACAACTCGGCCATGTCACAGTTGCTTTGCATGAGGTCTTTCTCCTCTCGAGAGAACCAACGATACTCCTTTACTTTGTTCAGGATGCTAAAAGCCTCTTTGAACTGGCCCTTCTTCCCCAGGATGAGGCCAAGGTTGTGCCGGTACAGGACGACGTGTCGATGTTCCTTCCCCAGACTCTTTTCACCGGACCGGATCGCTCGGCGACTCAATTCCTCGGCCTCGGCCACTTGCCCCAGATCTTTCAGCAGCAAAGCCAAGTCGTTGCAGCTCTGAGTGGTGGCCATGTGGTCGTCGCCCAGACGCGCATTTCGGGTCTGCAAGACCTCCCGGAAGACTTCTTCCGCCTCCTGTGTCGCAGCCATCTCATGGAGAACTATACCCAAGTCACGCTTGGCAGACAGCGTGCGCGGATGTGTTTCGCCAAGGCTCTTCCCACAAGCCTGCGCGACAGATCGTATGATCTTCTCCGCGTCCGCAACTTTGCCCCGTGATCGAAAGTAAGCTGCCATGGAGGAGCGGCTCCGATCATACTCCGGGTGGTCTTTTGGGAAACGCTCCAAGCCCTTGCTCAACTTTTCACAGACTGCGTCACCATCCCGATCGTTCGAAAGGACCCTGTCCAGTTTAGCCGTTGCAATCTCCACCGCCACGCGCAAGGCCACCACGGCACAGGTACGAACCCGCATCTCACGATGTGTCACTGCGTTGTGTGCCTCGCAGGCCTGACATTCCTTTGCCAGTCGCCAATTTCCTTGTGCTTGGAAGACCTGCGCAAGCTCGCTCTGGTAGTACCACTTTGCCACGAAATTCCTGTCACTGCATATCTGGAGGATTTTCCATCCCCACCGTCTTCAGCTGGGGGGGGCAGGAATTGTACATTACAGTTTCGGCTCCCTTCAGGCTACGAACAAGCTAATTGTAAACTGGGGTGTTGGCTTCCATGGATTGGGCTTCTGTCGGGTACCCAGAGCATCCGATATTGAATTTTTTCAAAAAATCAATAGGGTTTTGAAATTTGTGTAAAATCAAGCGTTTCGCGATTTTTTCAATAGAGACCTTTTGCATGAAATTCAATAGAAGAGTAGAGTCAAAATCAATCGAGGATATCACAAAACCGATCCCATAAAATCAATCGAGAGAACATGCATAAAATCAATAGAGAATGCACAGTAAAATCAATAGAAAATCCAGAGTAAAATCAATAGAAAATCCAGAGTAAAATCAATAGAAAATCCCGAGTAAAATCAATAGAAAATCCAGATAGAAAATACAGACTTTCAATTCGAATCAGTTGTGAAACGAATCATTTCGTATGACACATATACACATGCACATGCATACATACGTATATCTTTAATTCCTGGGCCGGGCTTCCCAACCCATGTTTCCACATATCTTTAGTCCTGGGCCGGGCTTCCCAACCCATATACTATTTATGCTATGGTATGGTATATGGTATACACAAATACATGCATACTACGATTCATATAGGTTTGTGTGACTAACTGGGCTTTCCAACCCATGCAATCCGGGGCTGTCCAACACGTCTAAAGCCTTAACGCTTTAAACTCTTAACTCCTAACCCCCTAAAGCCGTAAGGTTCTAAACCCTTGAACCCCTACGCCCCTAAACTCTAACACCCCTAAAGGCCTAAGCCCCTAAACCTTTAATGCACATGTTTAGTTTGTTGGTTCGGTTGGTGATTAGGGTTTCGTCTCAGCGGTTGGGGTTTTAGTTTCCCGGTACATAAAGTAGGAACAGCTGATTTCGGTAATTTTAAAACCTATAACGTTTAGGGGCTTAGGGGTTTGGGGGTTTCGGGGTTTAGAGGGTTAGGGGTTTAGGCGCCGAGGCGGCGTTTCGGGGTTTTGGGGTTTCAGGCTTACGGCTTTTGGTGTTTTGGTTCTTAAGTTTTAAGGGTTTAGGGCTTTAGGGGTTTAGGCGTTTCGGGGCTTCAGGGTTTCGGCCTTTCGGGCTTAGGGCTTTAGGAGTGTAGAGGTTTAGGGTTTAAGCGTGTTTGGGCTTCGGGGCTTTATAGGGTTTATAATCAGGAGTTGAGGCGTTTCGGGGTTTTGGGGTTTCGGGCTTCAGGGACTTAGGGCTTGGGGTTTAGGCCTATAGGGATTTTGGGCTTCTGGGCTTTAAGGGCTTAGGGGTTAGGGGTGTAGGGGTTCAAAGGTTTAGGCGTCTCGGGGCTTCAGGGTTTCGGGCTTTGGGGCTTTAGAGGTTGAGGGTTTTAGAGCGTTTGGGCTTTTGGGCTTTAAGTGTTTATAGGGGTTCAGGAGTTGAGGCGTTTAGGCGCTTTGTTGCTTTTGATTTTTTGGGCTCTAAGGTCTTAGGGTCTGAGGGGTTCAGGAGTTTCAAGCGTCGGAGCTTCAGGGTTTTGGGGCTTTTGGGCCGTTGGGGTTTAGGGTTTTAGTTCGTTTGGGTTTTTGGGTGTTTGGGCTTCGGAGCTTTAATGTTTAAGGTGCCAGGAGTTTAAGGGTTCAGGCGTTTCGGGGTTTTGAGTTTCGGGCTTCAGGGTTTTGGGGCTGTAGGGGTTTTGGGCTTGTGGTTTTGAGGGTTTGGGGTTCAGTGGTTTAGGGGTTTAGGCGTTTCGGGGGCTTCAGGGTTTCGGGCTTTAGGGCTTTAGCGGTTTAGGGCGTTTTGGCTGTTGGGTTTTAAGGGTTTAGGGGTTTTAGGCGCTTCGGGGTTTTGGGGTATCGGGCTTTGGGTTTTTGGGCTCTAAGGCCTTATTAGGGGTTCAGGGGTTTCAAGCGTGTCGGGGCTTCAGGGTTTCGGGTTTGTGGGCTGTTGGGCTGTTGGGGTTTGGCGTTTGGGTTTGTCGGTGTTCGGGCTTTGGGGCTTTAAGGATTTAGGCATGTATGGGGTTTAGTTTACTAGGGTTTAGGGTTTCAGGGGTTTGGGGGTTTACGGGTTTTGGTGTTCAGGAATTTATGGGTGTAGGGGGCTAGGCGGTTTAGGAGTTTAAAGGGGGCAGAGGCGAGGGTTTATCGCACTAGCGGTTTTGTGGGTTTCGGGGCGTAGGCGTTTCGGGATTTCGGGCTTTCGGGTTTTAAGGGGGGCCTCCGGAGTCCGAGGGGTCAGGGTTCAGGGGTTCAGGGGCAAAGGCAGAGGTTTGGGGTTTTGAGGTTTGGAGGAGTTTTGGGCTCTAGGGCTTCAGGGGATTTTGGGGTTTTATGAGGTTCAGGGGGCGGAAAAAATTGGGCATCAGGGCTGAGTGGTTCAAGATAGCACACCAATTGACCGCTTCACAGATCTTCATGTGATGTCATGTGTTTTCATGTGTTTTCATGGGTCTTCATGGGTCTTCATGGGTCTTCATGGGTCTTCATGGGTCTTCATGGTTCTTCATGGGTCTTCATGTGTTTTCATGTGTTTTCATGGGTCTTCATGGGTCTTCATGTGATTTCATGTGTTTTTGCGCCCCCTGAACCTCATAAACCCCAAAACCCCTGGAGCCCGAAAACCCAAAACCCCTAGACCCCAAAGACCCGAAACTCCCAAACCGCTATCCATGAACTGAACCCCTGAGCCCCCGAACCCCAAAACCCCTAAGGCCTTAAGCCCCAAACCGGAACAACCCAAAAGCCCCAAAACCCTGCACCACCAAAGCCCGAAAGCCTGACGCTTGAAAACGCCTAGGCCTAAGCCCCTGAACCTCTACACCCTTGAACCCAAAGCCCTACAGCCCTTAACACCAAAACACCGAAATACCTAATTACATTGCTCATTTCCTGAGGCCCTACAGTTAAACCCTTAAAAAACCCAAACGCCGAGCAACCCAACCACAAACCCTGACGCTCTGAAACCCTTAGCCTCTAAACCCCTAAAGCCCTAAAGCCCTAAAGGCCAAAACGCTGAAGCCCCGAAGCCCCCAAACACCTGAACCCATTAAATAACGCCCAAAAGCTTTAAAAACCCCGAATCGCCCAAACGGACTCCTGAACCCTTAAAACCTTAAAGCCCCAAAAACCCAAAATCCCAAACAGTCCAAAACCCTAAACATCTAAAGCCCGGAAACCCTACAGCCCTAAAGCCCAAACGCTTAAATTCCTGAACCCCTAACCCAAATGCCCCAAACGCCCTCAAGCCCTTAAGGGCCCTAAAGCCCGAAGCCCCAACACCCCGAAACGCCTAAACCCCTAAACCCCTGAACCCCTAAACGCTTAAAGCCCAAAAGGCCAATCACACGAAAACCCAAACACTCTGAAACCTTAAACCTCTAAACCCCCTAAAGCCCTAAAGCCCGAAAGGATAAACGCTGAAGCCCCAAAACGCCTAAACCCTGAACCCTCAAAGCCCAAAAAGCCTTAAAACCCCCAAAACGCCCAAACGCTCTAAAACCCTAGAACCTAAAGCCCCAAAACCTCAACGCTTAAACTCCTGAACCCCTATACCCAAAAGCCCCAAACGCCCTCAAGCCCTAGGGGCCCTAAAGCCCGAAGCCCCAACACCACGAAACGCCTAAACCCCTGAACCCCCAAACCCTTAAAGCCCAAAAGGCCAATCACACGAAAACCCAAACACTCTGAAACCCTAAACCTCGAAACCCCTAAAGCCCGAAACCCTGACACCCCGAAACGCCGAAACACCTAAACCTTAAGACCCAACAGCTCCAAAAGACCGAACACACTACAGTTTTAAGGGCCCTAAAGCTCGAAACACCCAAAAACCCTAAACACCTTAGCGCCTGAACCCCTAGACCCCCTAAACCCCGAAACCCCAAGACCTCTTGGCGCCTAAGCTAAAACCCCAGACCCCTAATCCCCTAAACTCCTAACCTGCTAGTCCCCTAAACCCTCAGACACGAAAACAAAACCCCTAAACCCCGAAGCCCTCAACCCCCCCAAAACCCCAAAGCCCGAAACTCTTTTCTCCGTAAAATCCCAAACCCCCAATGCGCTAAAGCCCTATATGTGTATATACATATTGTATATATATATATATACATAGAGTGATATATATATATATATATATATATATATATTTATTTATTTATTTATATATACACACCCCTAAACTTCTAAACCTCTGAACCTCTTAACCCCTAAACTCCAAAACCCCCCCAAACCTGAATGAACATATCCAGCTTTTGTTGGGTCGGTTAATGAGTTAATGATTAGGGTTTCGTTTAAGGGTTTGGGGCTTTTGTCTCTGGATACGTAGAGTAGGAACAGCTGGTTCGTGTAAACTCAAAACGGAAAACCTATAGCTATAACCAGCAAAACTGACAATGCATTACTTTACTCCGGCAGTATCTTAGCTTGAACATTGAAACAGCTACACCTGCACAGAAATCTATACAATCAACCGTGTCCAACCCTGCACTAACAAACGTGTTGCATGTGTGTCTCTGTGTGCACATGCTTTGTAAACTTATAGCTACATCATGTCAATACAAAATCGCCAACAATTTCAATAGAAACTCGCGAATAATTTCAATAGAAAATCCCGAATAATTTCAATAGAAAATCCCGAATAATTTCAATAGAAAATCCATTCTTAAATCAATCGAGGAGACAGTCGTGAAATCAATCGAGAAATCCTGAAACAGGCCACGATAAAATCAATAGAATGCAGTGTCAGAAATCAATCGAACCCGACCGAACAACAGAATGCGATTCGATTGAAAAACACCAGAATCAATAGGGTTTTGAATTTTTGAAAAAATCAAGCGTTCGATTGAAAAAAATCAATATCGGATGCTCTGGGTAGGGCTTGAAACCTAAACATGCCGCTCGGACTGCTTCGCATCTTTTTGTCGCCACTGCAAAGGTCGTGTTGGCTCGTCTGTCGGTGCTCTGTGTGCCCGGCTTCGCCGAGTGGACGCAATGTTTCGGACTGTTGGGAGTTTAGGGATCTAAGGTTGAGGCGGGTTAAGATTGAGGTGTTGACACGGCCAAGCCCTAGCCCCAGCAGCTAACTTTTAACGGACAGGCTCGACCATGACATCGAAGCTTAGAGCCGCGACTGCTTCACCCCATGGCTAGCCAGGGCGGGGCTGTTGCGTCCACGTCTCGCACGAATTTGGCAACCGACTTCAAGGACCCGGATCGGCTAGGGTGTAGCTCGGCCAGCATGTTGCAAACATGCGAAGAGTAGACAAGACCGGTCTTTCCTAGCAACATGGTGTCAAAGAACATGATGGCTCGGCTGCACACCTCTTCCCATGTGAGAGCCTTCTTGCCGGAGCGGAAGCACTCGTTGCCGTCTAGCAGCGGCGTGGAGGTGCTACTGTACAAATTCGGCAATCGGCGCAGAAACAAGGTAGCATTCTTCTGTACAAGACCCGGCGTGAACTGCCGGTTGTTCCAGCCCTCAACCGCGGAGCTCGGCAATGCAACGATCTGACAGGGAGCTTCAGGGATACGGCTTGCTGGAGACGATGCCTCGATTGGACCAGGCCCGTGCCGGTCTCCATGCTCGTATGGCTATTGCAGCATATTGCGGCGGCTCAGGTCCGGGCCTTCCTAGCGGAAGACATGGTCGTGGCCTCGACTTCGGCGCAGTGCAGGCATGAGCCTCGCCTCTTCCTGATGCAGGACAAGCGGCCGGAGGCAAGAGACGAGGACATAGAGGCAGGGGACTTATCCTTTCTGCTGTGTGCGACTATCTGTGTCTTTCGTTTGCCGCAGGTTCCTTGTACCGCGAACGGCCGCAGGCCGCTGAAATTGTAAATTCGGGTGGGGGGCATGTGCCGATAGCTGCTGCAGGACAGGCTTTCTGCGGATGCACCCCCCTGCATTTTACATATCCCGGCCACCCGGACCAGGTTCAGGAGATCGTGGGCGAAGCCCACTTGGAATCGAGACCATCCGAGAAGGAGGCCAGGACAGGCACAATTGTAAATTCGGGGTGGGGGCATGTGCGGAATCGCTGCTGTGACCGGCCCGGCCGGGACTGCCCCCGGCTTTATACATTTACTGGCTGCCCTTTTGCCTGCCCGTGGCACATTCCTAGTGCCGTGAACGAAGCGGAGCCGGCCTGGGCCAGCCGTGCCGCAGGCCGTGGAAATTGTAAAATCGGGAGGGGGGCATGTGCCGACGGCTGCTGCAGGATAGGCTTTGTGCGGATGCACCCCCCTGCATTTTACATATCCCGGCCACCCGGAGACTGTGGGCGAAGCCCACCTGGAATCGAGACCATCCGAGAAGGAGGCCAGGACAGGCACAATTGTAAATTCGGGGTGGGGGCATGTGCGGAATCGCTGCTGTGACCGGCCCGGCCGGGACTGCTCCCCCCGGCTTTATACAGTTCCTGGCTGCTTTTTCCGGCTTGGAGTCTGTGCCTGGCTGCCGTTGTGTCTGCCCGTGGCAGGTTCCTTGTACTACTACCCTGAACGAAGCGGAGCCGGGACCTGGGCCAGTCGTGTCGCAGGCCACTGAAATTGTAAAATCGGGTGGGGGGCATGCGCCGACAGCTGCCGTAGGACAGGCTTCGTGCGGATGCACCCCCCTAGGATATACAATACCTCCGCCCCTGCCCGGGCCAGGTATGTGACGCCGTGAAGAAAGACAAGCTGGAATCGAAACCCTCCTCCAAGAAGGAGGCCTGGTAGATCCAGGGCAAATTGTAATTTCGGCAGGGGTGCACCAGCCGCTTCATCCCCCCGGCCGAGTCTCCTGCGACTCCCCCCCCCTGCCTTTTACAATTGCTGCCACCCGTTGCCCGGTGTAGGTTCCTCCCAGCAAGCTTCCACCTACGCACGAGGTTCCTGCTGCGGTGAGGAAAGTCAAAGCGGAACCCGGGCCAGCCGTGGTCCAGGCCCGTTTGGAGTGTAATATCGGGGGGGGGGCATGTGTGTATGTGCAGCAGGGGCGGGCGCTTTGGCGAATGCCCCCCCCTGCTTTTTACAGTTTCCTCAGTCTGGACGACCGGCTAGCTGTTGCTGTGGCTGCATGTACGTGCTTGCACTAGGATCCTGACAACGTGAAGAAAGCCAAGCCGGCCGGACGCCGCCGAGACCGTGAACGAGCCGATATCCGGGCCCCAGGCCTGCTAAATTGTAAATTCGGGGGGAGGGGGAGGGCTGCCGCATGGGGCTGTGCCTGCGTTCCCGGCACCCCCACCCCTTCGTTTTACAATTATGCCAGGTTGCTGAGCTCCGGGCCGTGAAGCCCGAGTGTGAGACCGATGTGCCGCAGGCCCGGGAAATTGTAAAACGAGGGGGTCCCCAGTCCTGGGTTCCTGTGAACGGTGTTGCTTACCCAGGATCCCCCCCCCTCCGATTTACATTTATCGGGAATGCCAGGAGATTCCTAGAAAGGGTATGCAGGCCAGTTTTTTTTTTGCATTTACCCGGCCAACAGGCCACTGGCACCAACGGAGCCACATCTGCCTGTCGCACAAAGGAAGACAAAGCTAAGAGCCAGTGCAGCAACCAAAGCAACAAACCCACGAACCCACGTAACGAAACCAAGGCCACGGCCGTCTTCGAGGAAGTGGCACTGGCCTTCGCCGAGGCCTGCGACCCGACATAGAAACACAACCCAACGGGCACCGGACAAGTTTCCCGAACCTTCCCGTCGTTCGATGGGGCTGATGGAGCTGACGAGGCCGGGTCCTTCACAAAGGCAAACAACAACAACAAAAAAATGCACGCCCAACGCCAAACCTTCACGTGGCCATCTCCATGAACGTTGTAGAGATGGGCAAGCTGTTGATGTGGTGGGTCCTGTACGACGGGGAGGGGAAAGCCAGAAATATGACAACAACTTACATCGATCCTCCATTTTGTTCTTCAAGGCGTAGTTAGAGGCGTCCGTGAAGCTGCGGCACTTCTTCTCATCCGCGGCGATCCACGTGTCTCGGTCGAGTATGGATCTCTCTCTCTCTCTCTCTCTCTCTCTCTCTCTCTCGGGGTCGCTTGCAAGAATGCATGTCAACTTCCTTCCCTCTATCTCTGCGGCCGGAGTGCAGATCGGCTGGCCCTTCTGAGGGCCGCTTCGCCTCTCCCCCGACTGGATGAGGCGCCATGGGCCCGGCTTCGGCTTTCGAGGCATCCCTGAACCGCCCTGAATGTGTCTGCTCCAGTAGTGAAAAAATAATCAAAAGCCCAGTGCCGACAATATGGCTTACTCACCCCTCCCCCTATGCCGTCATAGTGGCTTAAGATATATACAGTAAATTTGCTAGAACCCGTGCCAAAAAGGTGGCTTAGTAACCCGTCCCCCAAAGCCGTCATAATGGCTTAAGATCTTACATAAGAGATTCTACAACGTCGTCAGGGAATGTCTAGGAATTCTGCACGACACACAATACTGGGACCATGCACCTCGAGCCATCTCGTGCCAACGACAGCATCACTCGCAGTTGAACCGTAGCACAAGCAGCAGCAAAATGTCCCCGAAAGCCGCTGGAGGTCATAATACTCTGTCTTGTTGGCAACAAACCCACCAACCCCCCCCCCTGGCCCAGGCTACATGTGCCAGCAACCCGTAATTGTAAAAATTTTTTTTTACAATTATGCGCCCCCCCCCCCCCCCTGATTTTACAATTATAAGGGGGGGGGGATGATTTTCCGAAGGAGGCCCTCGGCTTCTGAAAGCAAACCACGTGCACGGTACAATCGGGCAAGCTCGTACATGGAGCTGATCGTCCTGTTGTCGCGCTTGATGTGAGCCCGGAGGATGTCCAAAACGAGATCCGAATCAGCGGTTCCATTGCAGACTTCTCCACGATCATCCGTGACTCGAAGCACCCAAACGTCTCGCTCTCGGTCCACCGGGCGGCCCTTGTAGTCTTCACCCAATCGGATCTGGCGTCGCTGGCCCCCCTCCTCAACCGTCTTTGCAGCGAACTCAGGCGTCTGCCGCTGGAAGATATTGTACGCCATGGATCGGTTGACGAGGATGGGGATGCAATACATCCCGCGGTGGTCGTTTCCTCTGCCATCTCCCCACTCCCTGTTTCGCAGCTCGGCTTCTGCACCGTTGAGGTCGCTGAAAGGGCTCGCATTGCTAAAGTTGTTGAGCACAATGCGCATGCGGGAGCCCCATACGGCAGGCTCGTGCTGGCTGGCATAAATACCAAATCCGAAGTGTGCGCGCTCATCAACCAAGGATGCACGCAGCTCGGCCATGCTCTGCTCCAGGCTTGCCACATTCATGAAACCCGTCATTCCAGTATAGTGGTAGAGGACCATGATGTCCTGAAGCGGGTCCAAATTTTGTTGTGCATGTCTTTATTCTTTCTGAGTATGTCCTGGGGTTTTCGGATCGACCCATATACAAAACTTGCACGAGTCACAGGGATGGCGACAACTGCTGTCTGCGGGGTCTTTTTTGGTGTAATTTTTGGCGACTCCACTCCGGCTTGTCCGAAATCTGAAACATGTCCCCTCGTTGGCGATTCCGGTTCATTAAACACACCCGTCAGTTGGCTATTCCGGCTCACCATGTATCTGAAAGACACCTCTTCATGTGGCGATTCCGGTTCGCCATATATCTTCAACATGCCTCCCCTTCATTTGGTGATTCCGGTTCATCATATATAAAAACATATACTGAAACCATCAGCCCGTTCATTTGGCGATAACGGTTCATCACATATCGGAAAAACGCGCCCTCATTTGGCGATAACGGTTCATCATATATCTCAAACACTGGCGGGCCGACTGACCGACTGACTGACTGCCTGGCGCTCCGCGCATGGAACAACCGACCGACAGCAACTGACTGACAAACTGGCGTGCTCACACACCGACCGACGGACTGTCGCCGACCAACGACTGACTGACTGCCCGACGGGCGGAGCGCTTTTTTAGAAGCTGCGGCCAAACCTGGTGATGGGGGGTGTGGCCAAGCTTTGTTTCAAGTTGATTTGCGCTTTTTTTTGACCTGTACTATATTTGAATGGGAAAACCACAATGTTAAATTTCCGTAAATTACTCGTATTGATGGGCGCAGCCCCACCCCATTTGCAAACAGAATGCCTGCATGATGGATTTTCAAAAGGTCTATAAGAAATAGATGCTGGAAACAATTCTTGTTGATGTTGCGATGTTCTTGAAAGCAAGCCTGCACGGCAATACAAACAACGCGGGGGCTGGGGGGTCGCAGCGCCGCCCCCGATTGAAAACGACGTCTTTATCGCGGGTCCGGGTTCTGAGAGGGTCCATATGGGTTCTGTGTTCGCTGCAAGATGATACATGAAGTGATCTTGCACAGCCAAAAAGGAGCGCGGGGATTGATGGGGACATAGCCCCCCCATTTGCAAACAGATTGCCTGCATGATGGGACTACAACAGTTATGTGCATGCAACCATTTCTGTTGATGGTGCGATGTTCTTGAAAGCAAGCCTGCACGGCACAGAAAGAGAAAGCGGAGGGGGTTGGGGCGGCGCAGCCCCTCCCATTTGCAAACACAACGTTTTTATCACGAGTGCTGAGAGGGCACATATGGGTTCTGTTTTTGCTGGCAGGATGATACTTGAAACGATCTGGCACAGCTTAAAAGAGTGGGAGGCTTCGGTGGGGGGGGGGGTGGGGACGTAGCCCCCCCATTTGCAAAAAGACTGCCTGCATCTGGGGTTTGAAAAGGTCTTTATGTGATTGAAAAAAATTCTTGTTGCTGGTGCCTTGAAGCCCGCACAGCATAGAAAGACAAAGCGGAGGGGGTTGGGGGGGTCCGTTTGTTTTAGAAGGTGCGACCAACATTGGTTGTAGAAGGTTCGACCAGGTTCCTGGTCTTTTGGCCTTGGTCTTCTGGTCTCTGGGTCCCATGTGGTCTTTGGCACCCTGGTGGTCTCTTGAACATCCCATCATACAGGCAAAATGCCAGGGGCTTCGTCCACCCCCCCACACCTGCTTGGTTAAGCTGTGCAAGATCGCTTCAAGAAGCATGCTGCCAGCAAAGACAGAACTGGACCCCCTCAGAACCCGCCATAAAGACGTTGTGTTTGCAAACGGGGGGGCTGCGCCTGCCCGGCGGGCTCGCGGATCGACTGACTGGTCGATTGAAGCCATTCAGGCGAAACCCAAAAAATACAAACACAAACAACAAAAACACCCAAACAGCACCCCCACCTGCCTGAAGCTCTCCATTCGTCCGAAGATCGACGGCATGCCGCCATACGTGAATCGGCCCATGTGTTGGAGGAGGTTCCTCGCCAGGAGCTAGGGAAGCTGGAGAGGCTTTCAATTCGGAGTCGTATCTGTACGATGCCACCTCATCGAAATGATCATCCTGGTATTGCTTGCTCGTGAGCAGCTCTCCATGAAAGTAGCCTCCCAAGAAATGCCGCGAAAGTTCTCCAGGCACATTCGCCTCTATCTCCTCTCGGCGCCTGGCCTCCGCAGCTGCTGCCTCAGCCTCCTGTCTCTTGGCCTCAGCCGCTGCCGCTGCCTCCTCGGGGTTCGCCTCTGCCCAGGCCCTCTCAGCTGCTACCCGATCAGCCTCCTTAACGCAGCTCAGACAAGCACCCCATGCGCATCCGACAGAGCATTGGTAATCCGGATTATTCATTCGGCACACATCGCAGAGCCGTTTTCGTATTCGCTGCTTTTGCAAGCAATGTCCCTTCGGACACGTGAGGGCCAGCTGCTTGCCCCCATCTGCCTGCGTCTCAATCAAAATCAAGGAAGCTGAGACTCATTCCCCACTGCAAGAACATAGCGATGCCCCTCAGAAAACACTTCTGCCCAGGCCCCCGCGGTACACAACTGGCCAAAACAGCATGTGGAAGCAATGTGCAACTTGGCTACTGATGATGCTGCGAGGAGGGATGCGAAGTTCAGTATCATGGCTAGATTCTAGAAACCCTGGAAATCGTGCTAGCTAAGATGCTGGAAGTTGGTACTCCGAGAAATCTCAACATCAAAATGAACGAGGTCCAGAACTCGAATGTGTTGTGGATCACTCTTTCGCAGCATTCAATCCGAAATTTTTGCGAACAGGAGCTTCCTTAGCTGCCTTAGCTATCCTCTAGACAAGGCGTTTTGCCGAGGTTTTGACGTCAGAGTTTCCTGGAGAGCGGATTGATGTACTGTACAGCTCAGGTCTGGTGTCAAAACACTAGATATGGAGATGGTTGGGCAAGGTGGATGGAAACACCATCATCACCACAAGGCGAATCCTGTCCCAAGTGCAAGCTCAGCTATCAACATGTGTGCCGTCTCACGCCGAGCGCGAGCTCAGCTATCAACATGCGAGCTCTGCTTTCAACATGTGTTTCATTCCGAATGCTAGCCCCGCTATCAACATGTGTGCTGTGATATATTGTTGCTCAGGGGAGGTGCGTTAAACCCCGCGCAGGAACCAAGGCCTGGGGGCTGTAAATAGTACAACAAACTAGCACGGATTCAAACCATGATGCAAAACATGAAAGCCTAGACAGGAGTGCTGCGCATGCGAGAGATGAAAGTTCTCCAGCCTTGCTGGCGTCAATCTCCTCTTGGCGCCTAGCCTCTGCAGCTGCTGCCTCAGCCTCCTTTCTCTTGGCCTCAGCCGCTGCCGCTGCCTCCTCGCGGTTCGCCTCTGCCCTGGCCCTCGCCGGATCAGCCTCCTGAAGCTGCTTGCCCGCATCTGCCTGGTTTGGGATTGTTGCGCAGCGCTTGCACGCGTCCCAGTTGCACCCGGCAGAACATGAGTATGCCGTGCCTTTTTGATGGCAAACATCGCAGACGGCTCCCCGTCTTGCTTGGACTCGCAAGCCATGCCCCTTCGCACACATGTACATCAGCTGCTTGCCCGTGGCTTGTCCCAAGGCTTCCTGCACCTGACCCGGCAGGGTGCACTCCATCTGCGATGCCCGAGAAGCCAACTCCTTGACCTCCTTGACCTCGGTGCCTTTCCGTGCTTTGTTCAGAGCTTCCAAGCCTCTCGCCCCCTTGAAATGTTCCTCCCAGTGTTCCTCCATTTGCAACTGAACCTCTCCTCTTGTCCCATAGTATCTGATGGTGCTGCCACCAGGGCCGATAATCATGGAGGCATGTTGGCCACCATCTAGCTCCGCAAACCTTTGCTCGGCTGCGCGGAGGTCGAAAAATGCTTGTCCTTTTACGCGGTTCCAACCTTCATGCCAGAGGACGGTGTGCACTCCAAGAGGTGGAGGCTGGGAGGGCGCCCGCGGTGAGGGCTTTGATGGCTTCCCCCACCCTGACCCCATCCAGTCTGATTTCCTTTCAAGCTTCAGCTGCCATGGGATTATGACACGCGAAGTTTGTGAAAATTGTTCGGCTAGGTTGCCTGGCAGTTTATGGCTGCACAACTGCTCTTCGCAAGCAAGTGCAAAGGGTGTCTGGTTTAGGGTCTAGAGGGAGTCTAAGGTTCAGAACGAATCTCCTTGGCTGCATGGCATTGAGCCAGGGCACTGCCATCTCGATGTCGTAACCATTCCCAATTCCCAACGTACAATGCATTGTTACATTGCTGTGGGGTAGAACTGCGTAAGCATTCGCCACAAACTGTACGCGGAAGGATAGTCTTCTGCGATACTGAAATACGATGCTGGTTCTAGTATCGTATACTGTAGTCACTATAACTTACTACAGTGGACCATAACATAAACCCTAACTTCTAATCCTGACTCAACTTTTCCAACTTGCAAGGCTCACGCTAGAGTGAGTTTGAGCCTACGGCCTTGCGTCATCAGGCTTTGCCAACAACTCGTGAGTTTTGCATTCCAGATTGCAGTGTCCCGATGCTGATCAGCTTGAACGGTCTTCCACGACAACCATGAACCGAAATTCCACGAGCCCGGCCATAAATCCTACTCCAACTTCTGCGGCCGTCGAGCAGGGATAAGCTACTAGTAGCCATACTTTCCCGATCACGAAGAGGTCGTCCGGACAAGTCAAGCCCAGAGAGCCGAACTGCCTTTGATTGCTTGTCCAATAGTCCGTAACTCGACATAAGAAGCCCTAAATACTCTCACAATAAAATAGCATTCAGCGGTGTTCTTCAATTAGGGGCCAGCTTGTTCCATCCAGGGCGCGCTCCTGGCTGGTTTCAGCATGCTAAGCCACCGCTTAGCCTTAACAGTTAACAACTCCACGGCTTATGGGCTCAATCGAGGTTTAATCCCCAAACAATACACACGAAACTATAGACCAGCCGAGCGTAATCGCCTTGAGTGGTGTAGGAGGAGTCTACAGGAGTCCGGCATGGGGTCTATCAAGTCTATCAAAGTCCTTTCGGGGTTCTGCTCCCATAAGCTTTCATTGAGATTTCCATTTAGGAGGATGGGTTTCAGAATTACGAGCAGCGGCGGCCAACCTGGCCAGCGATGTTGTTCTTCTTTGCAGGCTCTTCCTCGACGTTGGCAGTGGTTAGGGTTTATTAGGGAGACGCAACACGAAACGCGGCGGTGCTTGCAAGAGCGATTCAAATTGCAAGTCTATGTGGGCGCATACGTGCACATAAATGCCCGCATGAATACACATACATCATTACGTATGTTTTACGACTTTATGTGAGATTCCATGTAAAATACGACGACAAGAACAAGAGTAAACAGCATGCTGTAAAGCTACACGGGGTTTCTGAAAAATGGAATACCGCCGATTTCGACAGTGACAAGGACACACACACATCAAATCCTTGAGGAAAAGCCACTTCGGATTAAATGAGAGGTTGAACTTGGTGATCAGAGCTTTGATGGAATCGTGGGTGCAGGGTTGGGCTGAGGTTCAATCTTTAAGACTTTAAGAGGTGGGCTGGTGATCCCAGACTCTCAAAGCGGATTTCTACTTCGACGAAGCCCAAGCCCTGAAGCCATGAAGAAGGATATAAGGCCTTAAACCCATGCCTCCAAACACTAGTCTTAAACGCACATGTCCCAAACTTATATGTAATTCGGAGCTTCAACATAAAATCCAACAACCTTGAACCTTCAGCTGACGCCCATAACCAAACCCCTCAACACACACACACACACACACACCACAAACCATACATGTCAAGCCCTTAATACCTAGCTCTAGTTTCGGACTAACTCGTTGTGGCATCCCCGTAAAGACCCTCCAAAAACCATGCCTTTCTAGTCCCCGGGCTCCCGACAGTAAGTAAAGGCTTAACACCCTGAATCCTAAAGCCTGAACGCGAAACACTGAACCCCTAAGCCCTAAACCTGGATCCTCAACCCTTAAACCCTGCTTTGAATTCCAGTCCTCTGGGGGAGGCTCGTAGTTGCCGAATCCCTGAAGCGCAGCTTAGCGACCCCAAGGAGTTTGGCTTAGGGTTTGGGGGTTCCTTTTGTTCTAGAAGGGTTACGTTGGGGGTTCCTTTGTTCAGGGTTTAGTGTAGGATTTTAGGGCTAGGATTCACGGGCTGTAGGGTGGAGGGGCTGGGCTTTTTGGGTAGTCACCCGGAACCCTATAAACCTGTCCCGCATATCCGCGTTTTAGGGTTTACAGCTTCAGGCTCCTACTGCCACTCACCCAAGAGACCCTGGGCAGTAGGATCCTAAGTTTTTGCATGACCCTGAAAGCCGGTGATGCCCGTATCACTGTGGCATAACACCGCGTAGCTGTATCGAGAATGAACACTTGAATCGATAATATCGACTAGCTAGTCGTAGATAATAATCACGTACAGCTGTAACAGGAACCCGTCGAACTGCACTATACACTTTGAGAGTGGCAGGGTAAGGCTTAGGGAAACCTGAGTCCACAAACTCCTCTTCCGAAGCGGCCTGGCATCGCGCTTTCAGGGAAGCACCTCACTTGCTACGGCTGCTATAAGGGCACCTTAAGGCTCCTATAAGGTACGATGAGTTTAGGATCTATAGGGCTTTTGATGCAGGAAATCCCCACGCACACTGAAACATCTATGGCGGTCTGCAGGGGTGTTGCAGTGCCTCACGGAAAGTACATATGGCTTAAACTCTGGGGTGATTCCCGAAATAACCCAACGGTATGTGCTGCAGACTGAGTCATGCTCGCGGCCAATGATTTCAGAACTCTCAACTCTCACTCTCACAGTACCGAAATACACATTCCTTCCATCGTACACGGACACGCCATGTGGATTGGAAAACAGTTCAAGACAGCTAAAGACAACAGGTTCAACATTGAGTTTTGCAGCACATGATGTTTTGATACGATAGGTAGCTAATCAAAAGCTGTCCTTGTCAAGTTTGGGACTACTCGTTTGCCAAAAAACCTCGTCGTGCCTGAAGCAGTTTGGCGGGCGTCCGGTCATAATCGTTCCGGCTTGATACTCGAACTTTAGCTCCACAGTAGGTTCTCGAAGTAGAAAGGCCATTTTAATAGTTAGCATCAGAGACTGTGGCTTATCATATTATCCCCAACATTACTATATACACAGCTACAGTAGCTATTTAGGCGCAAAGATTATGCAGAGGTAATTTCTGAAGCGATGCTGTGGTGGAAGCCCAAAGCTTCCTTGAGCTCCGAAACAGCCCGAGACTCCACGAACCTATATCGTATATGATCCTCATTGCCATCCTTAATTACCAGACTTGTCGTTATAGTGATTGATGTTGTTGATACTACAGTGCGAGTCAGTGAATCATTAACAAAGACACCTGCCTCACACACCCCTAGTTCGAGGAAGCTGCGAGCCTCTACATTGACTTCCGACGGTTCGAACCTATGTGGAAGTAAAAACCAGGATCCTTCCGGAGCTGGGCACTTCATAGATATTACACAGTTCCATTTTGCAGTTCTTTTACAGATTCTTCCGGCTTCTGCAATGCCCGATAAGAGTCTGCCTACGCCGCATAGGCGCGGCAGGCTCTCCTCATCCTCCTCCCCATGCAGCTGTCGCTGCTGCAACCACTAACCTACTGTCGCTCGACAACTACTGCAAGGCCTGGAACAGACCGCTCAGCAGAAATATACCCATAACCCTGACCTCAAAGGCTCTGCCATTCTCAAACTGGTGAGAGGGCACCTGCGGTCGACTTCTCCACGCTGTGGGGTGTCCGAATAGCCTCCTGGTGGGCAGGGTTCCACGGTATTGTGAGTTTGGGGCTTAGGTTGTGAATTCAGGTCTTAGGGGCTGTCGCCTTGGAGCATGGGGCTGTATTTAGGCAGTTTCGGTTTCACTGTTGGGGTGCAGGGTTTCTTAGCAGCAAGACATCCGGCCCTACCAAAACCCAACATGGCGACGTAGCCCTGACAGAACCTTTGCCAATTATATTGCGTATAATGTACAACTCTCCAAGGAACCCGTAAATTCAACCCTTCAAATTAACCCAAAACGAATTGGGGGCGGCGCCAGGGCCGTCTTCGTCGCGTCGCGGACCGTCCGGACTTCCTGGGGCTCGATAGCCCTCGCCTTGAGACAGAAGACACGGTTTAGGGTGTAGGGTTTGGTTTAGAGTTTAGGGTTTAGGGTTTGGTTTAGGGTTTAGGGTTTAGGGTTTAGAATTTAGGGTTTAGAATTTAGGGTGTAGGATTGACGGTTTGGGATCTAGGGTTGAGCGCTCACGGCCTTCTAGCGTGTATATGCAAGTTTTACGAGTCCCTATACAGTAAAAGCCAGAAAGTTGGAATATGATTCCTAAACCCTTTATGGTAAATTATAAGGTATCCTACCCTGAAACCATATTCCAACTTTCTGGAGTTCCCTTTATGGGCTCCAGAGGGTTTATAGTTTATTTACAAGGCTCTGGAGGTCAGGATATGGGTTCGTTCTACGGGTTCCTTTACGGCATCACTGCGTATAGGTTTTAAAGTTCTGTATGGCTTGTAGAGTTTCTAGGGCCTTTGGGCCTTGACATGGCTTCAAGGGCTTGCGGGGTGGCCAAAGATGCGAAGCGGATTGTGAGGCTTTATAGGGCTTCAAGGGCTCATATGTTTTTGCAGCTTTAGACGATTCAAGGCATAACCTCAAAGCCCAAAACGACAAGCCCCCCCAATTCGACACCTTCAACTCAACACCCTAAACATCAAACACTAAACCATAAACCCTGAGCCCAGGGCACAGTTCGGGAGTTTGGCTAGCAGACCAAAGAGCACCCAGACTCGCAAAGTACTGGCGATGGACACAATCCTGCGGGATGTAGGGTTTAGAAAGGTTTGGCCTTAGATGTAGGGCCTTAAACCTTAACCCTGAACCCCAGTCCCTAATCCCTAAACCCTAATCCCTAAACCCCAATCCCTAAACCCTTAACGTATAAACGGTAAAGAAACCTTTAGACCAGCCTGGGGAACGATTGGAGGCGCCGCGATGTCTTCGAGGATCTTCAAGGCCTCAGTGGAGAAGCCCAGAAAGTTGGAACATCGTTTGGGGAGGATTTAGGGTCCAGGGTTTAGGGTTGAAGGTTATAGGGTTTAGGGTTCCTGCATACTCGGATTGCACAAAAATGTGCCATACGGGCTGTTGTGTCACCAAGATAGGGCTTAGAGTTTCGTAAGGACCCTAATGGAGACCATAACATGATGCTAAATCCCTTTCTGCTCCCATGTTCACTGTAGCTCCATAGGAGACACAGTTAGCAGGCATTGACGGCTTTAAGGGCTTGAAGACTTGTCGTAGGAATTCTAAGACTTGTCGGTTTTGGCATGGCTTCAACAAAACTGATTAAATCATAGGTCTGCACGACTCATACGCGTTGTTTCTTGGGGAGACCATTCGATATTATTTGGCGCTGAGGGTTGAACCCCGCCTTACAGTTCCACGAAGTCTACAGGCGTGCCATAGGGTTTGCAAAAGCAAACCTCCCATCTAGCCTGTGCAGTAGCTGTTAGCCGTTTACCGCACCAGTACGTTGGAGGGGCGCTGCTGGGGGTACACATTCATGGCTTGAGGGCTGTGTTTTGGGAGGTTAGTCCAGGACTCGACGATATTCGGCCTTGAGGTTAAGGGATATTGGGCTTTCGACCTTGAGACTTGGAAGTATATATAGACTTGCTCATGTAATTTCACTTCATTAACGATGTTCTCAACGTCTCCAGCATTCTGGGCTGCAAGAGTGTAGTACAAAACTTGCAAACAAGACCTTCGTTGCAGAATTGGACTCTAACCCCTAAATCCTAGCCCCTGCATACCTAAATCCTGGAAAACCCTACTTAACATGCACCTTCTCATCCCTAAGCCTGCATGGTGAGGGTCAGGCGCCGGGGCATGCCAAAAGATAGTTCTGAAACGTGACATCCTGTCCGGTCGCTCCAGTGGAACTCTGACATTCAGAATACATAGGGCCTAGGGATTTGGATGTAGGATCTAGGATTTAGGGTTTTAGGTTAGGGCCTAGGTTTCGGGCTGGGACAAGGGCTTCGAGCTTGATTAGGAATTATCTTGAAGTAGCTATGTTTGAAGGAGGTTTCAGGAATTCAGCTGCGCCGTTCTCGCAGGCCCCTTGCTAATTGAAGCGGACCTTAGACCCCAAGCCCTATACCCTACACCCTAGCATCCGGGTTTGTGTGGGTCCCAGGCTTCAGATTCAGATGTTGGCTGGCCTGGAAGGATCCAGGGTCCCTGAAAGCCTCTTCTAGCAGAAGCTCCCGAACTACGAATTAGGTTTAGGGTTTCGAGTTTTGGGTTTAGGGTTCAGGGGTCCTTCAACTGGGAGCCTTGTGGGAATTTGGGGGGAAAAGTGTTGATTAGGATTAGTTTCACTCTTGGGAGGTACTTCCAAGGGTGGAAGCCAAGGAAGAGGTAGCTGTTGCGCAGCTGCCTAAGCTCCGGAAATCCGCTACGAGAATAGAAGTTCTGAGACTAGGATTGTGTTGGCAACAGTCTTCGAAAGCAATTACAGCATTGCATATTCCATAGGCTTTAGGCTTTGCATGGGAGGCTCCGAGTTTGGAATCCTATAAGCCTACGTGGTATGGAAATTGCGAAACCGGCCTCCGTAGGATTCCGCCCCGAATATGCACTCACCAAGTTTCACGGAGCACTCACCAAAACCCTGATGAAACCAGACTTTAAATCGGTGGGCACGGTCCTCCATTGCGATGTGTTTGATGCACAGGACCTCTGTCAGCTGAGCGTGCGGTTGGAATTCAAAGAGTTGCCTCTGGTCTGTAGGATTGGTTCTGTAAGCTCCTGAACAACTTGCTTGCCAGGGCCTCGCAAGGCTTGAGCTTGGGGTTTCAGGCTTTTGGGGTTAGGGTTAGGGTTCTACGATTTTGGGGGACAAAGAAGGGCAGGAGGGCTCTTATTGGATATCCTAGCTCAGGGCCGGGCCCCCTTGAGCTGTATGTTGAGTTGGTCACTGCATACACATTGCATCAGGTACTCGGCAACGTCCGGCGTGTCCTGCGGCATTTGAGCGTCGAAGTGCTTCGCAATACCAGTCCGTAGAATATCCCTAAACCCTAACCAACAAAAGAAACCTTAACGGATCCTTGCTGCTTTAAGGGCTTCGGGGTCTCGATGGCTATTCACGGTTTAGTGAAGTGCACACCCCCTCTTAGTTCAGCAACTTGCCGTAGAGCCTGCGACCTATGAACCACCATACTAGTGTAAAGCATCATCAAGACAGGAACATCTCGAGGACGCTCCTTCTTAGACGAGTCTTGCTTCCTCTCGGCGTCCCCCCACTCTACGTCAGGTCTAATCGGGGAGCCTCGATGATCGGAGTAGATAGATCATTGAAAGTTCGAAGACTATACTGGGGGCCTTGGGCATCAACGCCTTTCGGGTCGACAAGCGTGTAAGTGTTTAGGGCCCGCGACAACATCCGCGGCTGCACATGACGCTGAAGTGGACAGCAGACGGAACCGCTCGGAATGAAACCCCTCCAAATGAACGCCGTGCTGGGTCGTGGCGTTCTCAATGCTACATGATTGGCCGGTTTGACGGCTAACTGCCAGGCTTCGGGAAGGGCACATAGCCCTGAACAACAAAATTGAGGTTTCCCAACATACCAATAAACCAATAGAAATCAGAATAGCAAAGGAACCAATGACAAAGTTGAACAACGAAGTGCAACACCCCGAGACACTAAACACTCCCCAATCCCTAAACCCTCAGGCCGTCCTTGGGACTGTTTCGCACCTTTGGCCGACTCGTGGCTTGCGGGCTTCAGGAGGAGGCGGCATGATGCAGAGACGAAAGACAAGAATGCTTTTATGGCAGGGGTATAGGGGTATTAGTCATTGGAATGGTTCTGAGGTATTATGTGTTACAGTGCAACTATGCTGGGGAACACTGTTCGTGCCAAGCCTTCAAGCTGGCAAAGTGCAACGCGCTGGAGAGCTGAGCTGCCGGCTTGTAATTGCAAGGTCGAAACCGTCCATGGAGTCTCTAGGATAAACACAAAAGCTCCGACACATCCATGGCATCCGAGTCGAAATTCAGAACCTGCAACCTTGAACCCTTAAGCCCTCGGATCAGGCTGCCACATCTCTTATGATCTCGTTGAACAGCCACCCGGGAGTGGGCCTGAGCCGAGATTACGCAAGACGTCGCTCGCAGTCTCAGTCACAGAAGATAATAGGCTACATGGCAAGTGCATGACAGTATATGGGTATGTTCGGTATGAGTGTCTGTATAATGGCGTTTTGCTCACAGCTTACATAAATATATACATAAACAAAAAAAGAAAAATATATCATATATATATATATATGCGTGAAAACAGATGGATCCAGATCAAGTGGTGCAGATGGGTGTATACGTATATGCATATATTGTGACATGCACCTTTACGTTCGCATCCATGGTTGACCGATGAAAGCCCCGACTGCATCATGAACAACGACCCCACCCCGAAACCCTGATGCCCAACACTCCGAATCTCGAAACCCCAAAAACCTAGAACCCTGAAGGGCCTAAAGCCCGTCTTGCCGTGAAGCCCTCGAAGGAAACCCAGGGCCGAGAACTTCTGAGGCGATGTCTTACTATCAGGCGTAGTCGCCTGGCATCGCTTGTTTTCGTTGTCTCCCTCTCTTTCGCATTGTCCCTGTCATTGCCCGGTGGTCTTCGTTGTGTGCTTGCTTCGTCGTCCTTGTTGTCTCGTTCAGTGTGTATGTTCCTTGCGATCGTTCTTTAATCTATGTTTCGGTGCCTCCCTAGGGTTCCGAGTTGCAGAGCTTTGGAGCTTGGGGAGTTTACGGGCTTCAGAGTTCCAGCAAGAGTCAAGAGTTGGGGGTTTAAGGATTTACAGCAGCTTTTGTTTGGGCTTGGGCTCCGCTGGGTCGTAAGATGACGACACTTCGGGCTTAGGAAAGCAAGGACATATTATGAAAATGTGCGGATTTGCGGTGCGGCGAATCCCGTAACGCAGCGTGCTTCTTCTGGCTCTTCAAACTTCTTGATGACTTGCGATGGAAATAGGAGGCTACCCATCCGTCTATCTATCTGTCTATCTATACACATATACACATACACGTATGTATACGCAAGAGCGCTCGAGTCTCAGCCCGAAGTCAGGAAGCCCGCTTCGGCTCAGTCGCTTAGGAGGCCCTGTGCAACTTGCTCAAAATCCCTTGTCCCAGGGCTTTTTTTGCATGGGGGTAGAGACTATGCTGCGGGAGGGGAGGGGGAGGGAAGGGCAGACGCTGCACAGGTGAAACTTTGGGTAGGGGGCTCCATGGCTCATACTGTGAACCCTTGGACATGGTAGGGTTCAGGGTTAGGGTTGCGGGCGAACTCCTGAATTCCCAAATGCGGCTGCATGCGACAAGTGTAGTTGGGGCGACATTTTGCAGCTGGTTCCAGTTCACCATCCGCCCATGCGCCTGATCAGTGGCAGCAGCAACATGGAAGCCCCTAACTTCTGACACACAAAGCCAGGAAAGCGTAAACCTTGACCCCAAATCCAGGTTGTCGAGTTGTGGGTTCATGATGCCCTCAGGAAATGAGGCTTGGATTGTAGGGTGTTGCTGGAGTGGAAAGTCGCTCGTTGGTTTGTGCTCAACCGTGGACACGTCAAAGAAGCCCTGCATGAGCAATGCGCTACTTGAAGCTTTCGGCCCATGAAGTCCCCTTTCAGAGATCGAACCTAAGAAACTTCACACATCTACCAACACCAACATCCCTGAACCTGAGGTCTAGACTGGAGCTAAATGCTCAATGCTAAACCCGGAACCCTGGACACTGCAGACCCTGAGCTCCATCGACCCTACCGGTGAAAATCTCGAGTCCCAAATGGGAGTTTCAGAAAAGAAAGGTCCCTTGTTGAAAGGTCCTCCTAATATGGCAACTGCTATTTACGGAAACTTCAAAAACAAGCCTATATGGGTCCTTCATTGTTTGACTATCCCGAATGTTTGACCCCCAGCCGGCCAAAAAAAAACGCTGCCTGGAATGCTACCCATCGATCGATGCGACTCGCTACAGCTGCAAAGGCAAGAGCAAGAAATGCATCGAGATCATCGAGGCTACATTCAGGCCAACGTTAGGGTGGTTCGAGGCTTCGCATTTACGGGCATCTTGGTGGAAAGGGTCAGGAGTGTGGGATTTGGAACTCATAGAGAACGGAGGCCCCAAGACATAAACAATCCCGGACAAAGTCCTAAATAATTGCGTGGTGTTGGGGAAGATTCTTTGCCCGAGGCATGACAGGATCTAAGTTGACAGATAGCAGGCATATCGAGACTCCTGTTTGAATTCCAAGCGAAGGACCGATGCAAAATTTGGCACTCAGGCACACATACCACAATACGTGAGATGTAACCTAGTGCTGCTCTGGGTTCTGGGGAAACCGTCCACCAATGTAGTACCTGTGTGGATAGCCTATCTTATGCTTAGAGTTTCAAATTATAAGCACCTACACCAACAAAAACACTGCATTAACTACATTTTCGGATCCATAGGTGTGAGCCCGTTGCTTCAACCGGTACTTGTAGCCAGCGTGTTGATGGGGTTGAGATTTAGAGGGATGCTTGAGCATCCCGAATCTCAGTTTTCCATTCGCAGTGGCTTCTTCTGCGTCGATAGGTGTGTACAGCGCCGCGTCTTGAAACAGCAGCACTTCGTTGCCTTACGGGACGGCTTTCAGGCCCTTAAGAGAGCGAGACACTAACATGCAATACAACAGCATATATACACATATATATATATATATATATATATGTATTTATATATTTATATTCAGTATGATGAGATGAACAGAACTATGTTGTAGTATAGTACGATACGGTATCGTATAGCATAGAAGCAGTATAGCATAGTATAGTATAGTTTAATAAAGTTACAGTATACTATAGCCTAGTATTCGCATTAGCATTCGCGTCAGTGTTAGTATGTTCGCCTTAATAGTAGACGTCTTCGCAGTAGCATTAGTACTAGCCGCAGCACTATTCTTAGTATTCGGATTCATATGAGTATAAGTACTACTAGTATTAGCACTTCACGGCAATCTGAGGCTACCGGCCCCAGGATGTCCAACCGGGACGCAAGTTCCGGGCGAAGACCTGGCAGCGAAACGAACATCGAATCTTCTAATTTGTAGACGTCTTCGGAGTTCGGGGTTAAAGGCTTTAAGGGTTTAGGGTTTAACTAGGGGTTTACGGCTTAAGGTGTAGGGTTAGACGGGTAGGATTTAGGGTCTAGGGTTTAGGGGTAATCAGCAGGGGTTCAACTTTCTAGGCTTCAGGATCTGTTTTGCATACAAGGATTATGGCTTTGGTGGGTCGTTGATCGAGCCAGTCCACCGTTCCCAGTCCGTAAACCCTGACCGACCCAAGGCCCTGACCCAAAAACACTACAAACACATGCCCAAAGCCGCGAACAATTTGAGATGTCGGTGTGGCCTCGAGTTTCGGCCCAGCGGGAAGGAAGTCATCCAGGAAGGGTTTCCTGAGTCAAAATTATACATGCTGTAGTTGTTCTGTTACTTATATGGTATAGTATAGTATATAATACTAACGATCATAAGACTGTTACCATAGTTCCCACATAGGTTTGCGTTGCTTTGATAATCCCGCTGTCTTCGTGCCGAACGGTGTCAGATCCCAACCTGACAGCAAGCCCGGAGAACTCCGAAATCTCGAAATCTCAGACGCCCCGGACAAACCGGCAACACCGACAAGCCCGAGTCCAATTGGGACACGTTATTTTGACAATCTTGTAGGAAGGCTCCCTCTGAAACCATCTCTTGTCTGTATTCGGGTCCCCCATCTCTGAAACAGGAAGCTGAAAAACATCCGCAGCTCTGAACCCCCTAAGGGGAACTCCAGAAAGTTGGAATATGGTTTCAGGGTAGGATACCTTATAATTTACCATAAAGGGTTTAGGATAATCATATTCCAACTTTCTGGCTTTTACTTTAAATCCTGTGCCAGGGCCTGGCGACCCCCCTCCTGTCACGTGAGCTCGGATAGTCGGGCCGACACCCAAGCTTTTGCACTGCGAAATATGGGAGGGGGCCTTCATCATTTTTTCATAGGGTTTCAATATAAACCAGTCTATAATTGACAGTTGTTTATTGCTGTAGACAAAACAGGACCATGAGGGGCAATATCATTACCCATATGATGGCAGACGCTGTGGCTCAGGCTGGCTGTGCGCCCCAGGCACGGCCGTAAAGATCCGGTCGGTGGGATCCTGACGCGCGTGGGGGTTTTCAGCAAGGAGACCCGACTAGAAACCCGAAGCTGTAGGAATTTTTCTTACTGTACCATGAGGACCCCACAATACCCCGGCGTTCTGCAACCCTCATGGGAGCGGGGGGCGGAAGCGAGACTTATCATCCAACACCGAGTCATGGGTGTGTAGGTATTTCTCATGGATGATAGGGAGACCACTATTGCAATGCCTAAACCATCCTAAACCCTAAACAACACGACTTAGGGTACCGATGGGATCATGGCGAGGTGAGCGCCACGTCCTGGACGCCATCGTTTTCCTCCAAAGGCCTCCTGGCGTTTGTGAGTCAGCGATACATATGTATGATGTATGTATGTGTATATATATATATACATATATATATATAAGTATGTAAGTATATGTATATGTATATGTATATGTATATGTATATGTATATGTATATGTAGTATATGATGCATATGAGGTATATGGTGTATATGATGTATATGATGTACATGTATGTGTATGTGTATATGTATATGTATATTATGTGTATATATATATATATATACACATGTGTATTACTACAGATATGAGTTTGAGGTTCAGGGTTCAGGACATATGGTGGGTGAGGTTCCTTAACATCAAGGGCAGAACCTCATGGACGGTTCTATACTAGGTTCATTCTGTTCCAGAGCTTTCATATCGGAGTTTCAAACATTTCGGGGTACCTTTTTTTTGGGGGTCGTTCTAATAAGGATCCTACTATTTAAGGTACCATATTAGCGTCCCCTATTTTCGGAAACACCCATATGCGGCAGTCAAAACCAAGAGCGTGGGGTTTTGGAAACTCCAAAAGGGCAGGCAGCATTGCTCTGGCTCCCGAGCCTGCCATCCTGAATCTGAGGGACTTTAATCTAAATTATTAGATTAACTTAACACAGAAACCATATTATTTAATTACTATAGATCCCAAATATGGTAACTTAAGAGGCCATATTATTTACTATAGATCCCTTTATGGTAACTTGAAACAAACCCTTTAACAAGAACCCAGCAAGTGCATTCCGATCCCGATGGATGGGGGCTTCTAGGGCCTAAGTCAGGTTGCATCAGATGAAGCCCAGACTCCCAAAACATCCCTAAATCCCCCATACAGGCCTAGAGCCCAAACCCCTAAACCCTAGACCCTAATCCCTAAAGCCCCCAAGCATACAGCCCTAGACCCCTGAACGAGAAAGCATATTATCAGACAGGCCATGATCCTCAAATCAGATGACGTTGGCACAAGCTCTGACAATCTGAAACCGTCGGCCATGTGTCGTGGTTCAGCGGCTGAGGTGACGAAAACCACCGAAAATTATGGTAACTCTTCATACACATCTCTGTGTGTGTGTGTGTGTGTGTGTCTGTATGGCTGTCCATCCATCCATCTGCTTGCTTCTTTGTTCAGTGTAGTCCCAAGCCCTACCGCCCAAGTGGACCGCAAACAGTACGTATACATACCAAAACATGTGCTCAATTCCATTTCCCCTGGGTATGCTGCACTCCTGACTGCTACCCCCAAAATCACATCTAACACATCTGGAGAGATCTGCTAGACTGGGTGATTCCGCACTTAGTGCACAACCTTATAAGAGTTCACAAGATTCAGAAGAAACCGTGTAAAGAAGCAGCTGAGTCCAACTTTTATGAAAGCACGTCAGACATGATCGAGCCTGGCCACCAGCACTTTCTCCTTGGCTGTTTCACTGAATTTGACTGCCGATTATTTCTCGGCGTGGATGGAGAGCCTGGGTTCGTCTGCGCATGTAACTAGAGATTCATGGCCGTAACTCACCGGACTGGGGCTTTGTACTACAAGCATTTTGTAGAATCCGAGATGCAAACAAGTCCTTGTAAGCTGGTGTTATGCAGGCCCTGCAACAAAGGCCCCCTTGCCTGAGACTCCAAACCCAAAATCCCAAAACCCTAAACCGTAGGCTCAGGCAGCGCGCCTCCCTCTTCTTAGTCTAAAAGTGTTTCTTGGACCTTCATGCCCTGCATATAGGAATCTGACTGATTGACGTCTAGGTGGCCTTTGATTGGGTGCTCAGTATATGAAGCCTGTTGTTCACGGGAGCTCAAACGCATTCCCTCTTGAACAGTTTCCTACCTTAACAGGATGCTCTCGGCCGGCCGAAGCTTGGCATGTAAATCCTATATCCCATACTGCCTGAAGCTGCTACCCTCATTCCGACTCCAAGTGTTTGCAAAGGCTCAAAGGGAAGCCGTGGCCGATCTGCGCCAAAGGGGAGGACTGGTTCGCCATCGTTGGTCACCTGGGGCACTTCAGTTTCAATGCCTTGAAGAGTTGGAGCGCTGGCTTTTGCAAGTGTTTCTGTCGGATCGGGCTGTTGCCAGTGGTTGCGCGCCCGAGTCCAAAATCGTACCGTGGATCCATGGATGGATAGTCCACACGGCAATCTTAAATGAGACTCCGCTCTAAAACGATGGCAACACGAGTAGCCTCCCTTTCGCACGGGGCGGCAGGGCGTTGCCTATCATCGGAGTTCACAGCAATGTGATGGAATGGACTCTACTCACAAGCAGTTGGAGTTCACTCCACTCATAGCATTCCAGAGGTCTATGGCGGACGGGATCAACAACGCAATCTTAATAACGGAAGCGGTTCCACCTGAAACAAAAAGAAGAACAACCTGGGCGCCAAACTCTAGAACCATCAAGCTGATTTCCCACCAGCTTAAGGAAGAAACAGCGGCCTCGAACATGTCCTTCAGGATATCTTCATCCCAAAGGACTTTGGCCCCTTTCCAAGCATCATTGGCGTTGTCCCGGGCTGCACGGTTCACCCGGAGCTTCTTCCAATGTGTCCAGACCTTCTGAAAGGAGGCGGGCTCGTCCAAGTACTTCTTCAACACGCTCTTGGCGGGTCCCTTACCGGCCTTCGGAGGCTTCACGCCCATGACGTCAAACATCAAGAAGGCGATTTCCATCCCGGCTCCGGCCACGGCCTCGAGGCACTCGGGCCGATTGGTGCCTCGACGCCGACGTCGGTGCACACGACGCCGGCGGTGCCGGCGACGGCGACTTGACTCCAGGGCTTCGGACGACGCCGAGGATCCGGAAACTCCCTGCTGCAGCAGATCCGATTCATAGTATTTACCCCCTTCGTCGTCATCGTCCCCATCCTCCAACGCCACGGCACCGTCATCCGAGTCGTCGGAATCGTCGAAGTCGTCGGTGTCGTCGAAGTCGTCAGGATCCTGTTGTTCTTCTTCCTCCTCCTCCTCCTCTTCCGCGTCCGGGTCTTTCCAGACGACCGGGGTGGACTCGGAGTAGATGGGGTGACCCGGCGATGGCGAGATGCCGTGCGTGAGGAAATCCTTCAACTCCTTATCGTACTTCTCGAGCTTGGACGCAAAGTTGGGGAACATCCTGCAGCAATCTCCCAGCACCAGGCCGGCCCAGTTCTGCATGAAAGCATCGTGGCGGGCGAAGTACTGAGGCTGCTCCTGGGAGACATTCTGTCGACGTGCCAACTGCGTGAGAGCACTCTCCTCACACCCGGATTCCGAAGAGCACGTCTCCGATAAGTCGCCAACTGCCTGGCCAAAGAGCCCCAAAACAAGGAGCAGGCACTTCATGAGCCTCCAGAGGTCTTTTTGGCTAGAGCTGCCAGAGGTTTTTTGGCTAGAGCTGGGGGGTCCAAGAACAAGGCCAAAACTCTTGAACCACAAGGTGATCGAACAGATGACGACTCTCGACTGTCCTGACGTCACACATGCTCGGCTGAGACCCTGCAGGATGCACGAATCAATCTACGTCTACGTCCCACTAGCCAACATGCAACCTGAAAAAGGCCTTGCTGTCCGATTATGCAAACCTTCTTCAGGGGTTCCATACTGGTTTGGAGGAAATTACCATTATCAGTGCTTGCCGGCTTCCTCGACATCTAGTCTCGGGGGGCTGGCTTGCTTTCATTATAATTTCTAGGACTGTCTGCATGGTTTGCATCACAACATAGCCCGTGACACACCCGTATTGAACGATCCAGCTCCCTGGAGTTCAATTTCCATGACACCGGAAGCATCGGAATCTAAAGCTTGAGTTGCAAGATGTGAGCAAGGTAGTCGACAAAATGTGCAATAGCTGAAGGTGTTTGGCAAGATGCTCTTTGACTACCTAAATTAGTCAGATCTTCTAGCAAGAAGATCATTCAAAAAGCGGCCGCACGATAGAACAACCCCCAGGTGGAGATTGTAGCCTACAGCTGGTGTCTGAGACAGCGACCTTGATCCATATCCAGCATGCAACTTCACGAAGCCCCCACCTTAGGCATAGGCCCAAGGTTTGTCATTGAGGGTTTGGGGCGTAGGCTTTGAGGGTTCTGGCAGTAGAAAGCAGTCTTGTTTTCATCGCGCTTAGACAGGGATTCACATCAGTAAGAAACCTCGCCTGCCGTCGTCGTCTTCAGATGTCGGTGGATGCTACTGGCCAGCCGGTGATGACGTTTCAATCTGAGAGCAACAAAAGCCGAGGCGCTCAGGGAAGAGCTTCTCCGACACAAATGCCTGCACAGGGCAAGAGTAGGAGTGAGTATGTAAAGTATGAGACTCCGCATCATGGACATGTACTGCATATATATATATATAACTATGTATACACATGTGTATAGATATAGAGAGAGAATTAGATAAATAGATAGATAGACGTGGGTAGGTAGGTAGGTAGATAAATACTCTAGGCATAAAGGGATATATAGGGATATAGCTATACGGATATGTACCTCGAGATACATGTAACTGTACGTGTGCCGTTGTTTATGAGCCTACTTATGCAAGACTTCAAACTCGAGCACTTGTATCATGCCGTCTGTATGGCTACTCAGCTTTCGCTAGCGAAACACAGTGCTGTCAATGTATCCATTTGCTTGGCACTGCTCTGACCTTGGTCTACCCCCTGCACCCCCTAGGCCGCGTTTCAATCGTAAATCCAAAAACACGGCCCGAGCCTGCTTCTTCGGATCGTTAGTCACCTGCCAATAGGCTGGAGGTCTAAGGTACCAGGTATAGAAGGCCCACTTCCAAAAACGGGCGCAACTAACTACCCCCGCAACAATGATCATTCCTCCGGGGTGGGGGGCTCCCTGGCTTCCACAGCTTTTGGAGAGGCGGGGTGTCTGGACTGAGGTGCTGAAGGCTTAGGCCTTAGGATCCGGGAATGAAGACTGTGGGGGTTCTATGATTCGGGTGGGAAAAGGCAGGCTCTAGGACTCTAGGACCTAGAACTCTGGGATTGAAGGGGGAGCCCCTGCGAGGATGTCCCGGGCGTCTTGCTTGTGCTCTTGTCATGGTAGCTGGTAGCCCTCAACCCAGCAAACCTGAAAGAAGGACCAAGAACTGGAGACTCGTCTTCTCTGCACCCTGCTGCCAGGGAGCCCATAAGGCACAAAGGCCGCCGGGAGCCAAGAGCTCTCCCAAGCGCAGCTGTGGGAGCCTCAGAGCAGTTTCGTATTGAATCTACCATCGTAGACTTTCAAGCGACTTTCAAGCTGAAGGGTCTGGGCTTTGCTTGTGTGTGTGTGTGTGTCAGAGAAAAGGGCTTGGATGTGCTGGCTCTGAGTTTTGCTGCACCGTGAGGGGGTGCCGGCTCAAAACGAGCAAGTCTTCCATAGAGCAATGCTCCGCACATCTATGCACCCATCAGCCCAAAGCCATGAGACCCTGACAAGCAGCTCTGTCCACCTTTGGCCACAGTATGCTAGGACAAGCTGCTCATCCGACTGGCACTTCTGGTAGCGGACTCCTGACACAAACTATAACCACGGTAGAACATTCCGCAAGTCGAAAGACCACAACGACGTTGAACGCTTGGGATGTCTTTAGGTTGAATAAGGCCTCAATTCTGCACGGCTTACGCTCACACACACACACACACTTGACACAATGTGTCGCAGGTCTGTGAAATCAGCATAAGTCAGGAGAAGTCAGAACCTTCAAACATGACTAGCATGGGGTCTCCAGGCTCATCAACATGGCAGCAACTAGAACTTTGACTGGCAAGAGTGCCTCGCTAGCTGCCCACGACGGGGCCCAGGCGCAGGCAAAGCAGGTACGTTTTCCTAGGGTGTAGGGGAGAGCTTCGTTGGACGGAGCTCCCCTGCGCCCCCTCCGTCCCCCTGCTCATTCGACTCAGATTTGCCTACCCTTCGAAACAGGGGTGGACACACACAAGCCCTCTCGGGCTCGTTGCAGCCGTTCGAAACACCGGTCAACATACACATGCACTTTCGAACTTACTGACAGGAAACGCTCACGTACATAACCCATGCATGACAATGCAATCACTTGCACGACACTTGCATGACAATGCGCACTCACTTGTCCAGATCGCCACCAGACCACCAAAAACCACAGTGCCACCACCAGCCATGGCCGAACCCTGCTGCAAACTGCACATCCCTTGCACACTTACACGGCACTTGCACCTCCCTTGCACATCACTTGCACGTCCCTTGCACGTCGCTTGCACGTCACTGGCACCTACAGAGCTGCAAACTCAAAGCTGGACTCCGACATGACCTGAATTTGACAACAGGCTACTGGTCTGTTTAAGTCTGCAAATTGCTTTCAGAACGTGGCAAATAGCAATGATTGCAGGAATACTCTCAGCAATCATTTCCAGCAGCGTCTCAAAGCAGAAAGCCCCTGCTCATTCGACTCAGATTTGCCTACCCTTCGAAACAGGGGTGGACACACACAAGCCCTCTCGGGCTCGTTGCAGCCGTTCGAAACACCGGTCAACATACACATGCACTTTCGAACTTACTGACAGGAAGCGCTCACGTACATAACCCATGCATGACAATGCAATCACTTGCACGACACTTGCATGACAATGCGCACTCACTTGTCCAGATCGCCACCAGACCACCAGAAACCACAGTGCCACCACCAGCCATGGCCGAACCCTGCTGCAAACTACACATCCCTTGCACACTTACACGGCACTTGCACCTCCCTTGCACATCACTTGCACGTCCCTTGCACGTCACTTGCACGTCACTTGCACGTCACTTGCACCTACAGAACTGCAAACTCAAAGCTGGACTCCGACATGACCTGAATTTGACTACAGGCTACTGGTCTGTTTGAGTCAGCAAATCGCTTTCAGAACGTGGCAAATAGCAATGATTGCAGGAATACTCTCAGCAATCATTTCCAGCAGCGTCTCAAAGCAGAAAGTCTACGAAACTGCAGAGTCTACGCGGTCCAACATAGGCGAACCACACTCATGTCAAAGAGTCTACGCGTTCCAACCTAGGCAAACTGCACTCATGTCACAATTCTGCAGAGTCTACGCATTCCAACATCGGCGAACCGCACTCATGTCACGAAACTGCAAAATCTACGCAGAGTCTACGCATTCCAACATCAGCGAACCGCACTCATGTGTCACGAAACTGCAGAGTCTACGCATTCCAACATAGGCGAACAGCACTGATGACACGAAACTGAAGTATACGCATTCCAACATTGGCGAGCTGCACTCATGTCACGAAACTGCAGAGTCTACGCATTCCAACATATGCAAACCGCACTCATGTCACGAAGCTGCAGAGTCTACACATTCCAACATATGCAAACCGCACTCATGTCGCGAAACTGCAGTCTACAAGTCGCAAAAGCAAGCAAACACATGGACTGAACCGATCACTCCAGCCGTGCAGACCCCTGCTCGTTCGACTCAGATTTGCCTACCCTTTGAAACAGGGGTGGACACACACAGACCCTGCAAGCTGTTCATAAGACTCTTGCCCTTCCGGACTTATTGACAACAGCGTCTCAAAGCAGAAAGTCTACGAAACTGCAGAGTCTACGCATTCCAACATAGGCGAACCACACTCATGTCAGAGAGTCTACACATGGCAACATAGGCAAACCCGCACTCGTGTCACCAGTCTGCAGAGTCTACGCATTCCAACATCGGCAAACCGCACTCATGTCACGAAACTGCAGAAACTACATTCCAACATTGGCGAGCCGCACTCATGTCACGAAACTGCAGAGTCTACGCATTCCAACACATGCAAACCGCACTCATATCACGAAACTGCAGAGTCTACGCATTCCAACATATGCAAACCGCACTCATGTCGCGAAACTGCAGTCAACGAGTGGCAAAAGCAAGCAAACACATGGACTGAACCAAGCACTCCAGCCGTGCAGGCCCTTGCTCGTTCGACTCAGATTTGCCTACTCTTTGAAACAGGGGACTTATTGACAGCAGCGTCTCAAAGTAGAAAGTCTACGAAACTGCAGAGTCTACGCATTCCAACATAGGCGAACCACACTCATGTCAGAGAGTCTACGCATTGCAACATAGGCAAACCCGCAACAATTGACTCTGCACAGCACAACCTCTCACAAACACATAGGACCTTGTACTGTTGCATGTCACTTGCACGGCACTTGCACCTCCCTTGCACATCACTTGCACGTCCCTTGCACGTCACTTGCACCTACAGAACTTCAGCCTCCGACCCCTGAAGCACAGCTCGCTCCACAAGCTTCACTCCTACACGACAAAACGCCGTGCTCTTGTCTACGTCACACTCAAGCACTGTTACGGTTTCATCAAAGCTTCGCACAAATGACATGGGTATCCAAGATTTGCTAACCACCGCACAAAGTTGTGAACAGCAATTTCAGCCTAACACGTTGGCCAAGTGTACTTGCGGATGAGAGAAACTCTCGACTTCGCTTCTGACACAAGCAAAAGCATGAACACACAACACTCGCACATCACTCATTGACTGCCTGCACATACCTTACAGATCACTTGCACTGCACTTGCACATCCCTTGTGCACGACGACACGCACTCAGTTGCACTGCTCTTGCCGATCGCGGCGTCCGGTTCACGACGGTGGCTGCTTTGGCTCGGGCAACATCACGAATGTAACTGCATGAATGGTCACCTTCGACGCCTCCCATGGGAATTCTTGAATGCGTCAAAGCATGTCACTTGCATAACTCTTGCACATCCCTTGCACGTCACTTGCTGGGCGCTTGCGCATCTCTCGCACAACCCTACTGCTTCAGAAACTTCCATTGCCCTTCTCTCGCACATCACTTGCATGTCCCTTGCTTGCACAAACCTCCGTCTGCACAGCACAACTTCTCGCAAACACATAGGACCTTGTACTGTTGCATGTCACTTGCACGGCACTTGCACCTCCCTTGCACATCACTTGCACGTCCCTTGCACGTCACTTGCACGTCACTTGCACCTACAGAACTTCAACCTCCGACCCCTGAGGCACAGCTCGCTCCAGAAGCGTCACTCCTACACGACAAAACGCCGTACTCTTGCACTTGTACAACACTTGCGATGCAGCAAAGCAGAGAGATGCGCACTCCGAACGCATGTAGGCATGCACGCATTCACCACAGACGAAAAACGTTTGCCAAACTTGCACTTGCACAGTACTCAAACCGCACTCATGTCGCGAAACTGCAGTCTACGAGTCGCACAAGCAAACAAACACATGTACTGAGCCAATTACTCCAGCCGCACAGATCCCTGCTCGTTCGACTCAGATTTGCCTACCCTTTGACGAAACACCGGTTGACATACACACGCCCTTCCGGACTTATTGACAGCAGCGTCTCAGAGCAGAAAGTCTACGAAACTGCAGAGTCTACGCATTCCAACATAGGCGAACCACACTCATGTCAGAGAGTCTACGCATTCCAACATAGGCAAACCGCACTCATGTCACAAATCTGCAGAGTCTACGCATTCCAACATCGGCGAACCGCACTCATGTCACGAAACTGCAAAATCTACGCATTCCAACATCAGCGAACCGCACTCATGTCACGAAACTGCAGAGTCTACGCATTCCAACATCAGCGAACCGCACTCATGTGTCACTAAACTCCAGAGTTTACGCATTCCAACATAGGCGAACCGCACTGATGACACGAAACTGAAGCACACGCATTCCAACATTGGCGAGCCGCACTCATGTCACGAAACTGCAGAGTCTACGCATTCCAACATATACAAACCGCACTCATGTCACAAAACTGCAGAGTCTACGCATTCCAACATATGCAAACCGCACTCATGTCGCGAAAACTGCAGTCTACGAGTCGCACAAGCAAGCAAACACATGTACTAAACCAATCACTCCAGCCGTACAGACCCCTGCTCGTTCGACTCAGATTTGCCGACCCTTTGAAACTTTGAAACCGGGGTGGACACACACAAGCTCTGCCGGGCTCATTGTAGCCGTTCGAAACACCGGTTGACACACACACGCCCTTCCGGACTTATTGACAGCAGCGTCTCAAAGCAGAAAGTCTACGAAACTGCAGAGTCCACGCATTCCAACATAGGCGAACCACACTCATGTCAGAGAGTCTACGCATTCCAACATGGGCAAACTACACTCATGTCACAAATCTGCAGAGTCTACGCATTCCAACATCGGCGAACCGCACTCATGTCACGAAACTGCAAAATCTACGCATTCCAACATCAGCGAACCGCACTCATGTCACGAAACTGCGGAGTCTACGCATTCCAACATCGGCGAACCGCACTCATGTGTCACGAAACTGCAGAGTCAACGCATTCCAATATAGGCGAACCGCACTGATGACACGAAACTGAAGTCTACGCATTCCAACATTGGCGAGCCGCACTCATGTCACGAAACTGCAGAATCTACGCATTCCAACATATACAAACCGCACTCATGTCACGAAACTGCAGAGTCTACGCATTCCAACATATGCAAACCGCACTCATGTCGCGAAAACTGCAGTCTACGAGTCGCACAAGCAAGCAAACACATGTACTAAACCAATCACCCCAGCCGTGCAGACCCCTGCTCGTTCGACTCAGATTTGCCTACCCTTTGAAACTTGGAAACAGGGGTGGACAAACACAAGCTCTGCAACAGTCTGCTGTATGTCAAGCAAGTTGTTCAGGCCAGCACAGACGTCCCTATGACCTCGAACATGAGTCAAGTTTGCCGACATGATTGCTGAATATTCAGCAAAGTCGGCCACTGATCGAAATGACAACTTAAAACCTGTGCCATCCGCATGAAGCGTGATTGCTGGCGGCACGTCTTGCTGCAGAACTTGCTGACGGTTTTGATGAACTACAGAAGGACCAGGCTGATCACTTGCTACACGCAAAGCAGGATACTCAGTAGCTATCAAACGCACAGCTTTCCTACTTCGCTTCCAGCCGAAGACCTGCGACAAGTCAGTGGGAAAGTCAGCTCGGTGAAGTCACTATCATAATAAAGAAGTCAATGGTGAAGTCAGCTTTCAGGTTTCGGTGAAGACGTCGGTGAATTCACTGGGAAAGTCAGCTTGCAAGCATGGATATAAAGTCAGAGAAAGTCATCCGATGCTTATAGAATCAATCGGGAAAGTCAGCCGCCAGAGCTACCTCTGGGAGACACGGCGCCCATAGGGAATGCCGTTGTGAATCACACTTGACACAGTGTGTCGCAGGTCTGTGAAATCAGCATAAGTCAGGAGAAGTCAGAACCTTCAAACATGACTAGCATGGGGTCTCCAGGCTCATCAACATGGCAGCAACTAGAACTTTGACTGGCAAGAGTGCCTCGCTAGCTGCCCACGACGGGGCCCAGGCGCAGGCAAAGCAGGTACGTTTTCCTAGGGTGTAGGGGAGAGCTTCGTTGGACGGAGCTCCCCTGCACCCCCTCCGTCCCCCTGCTCATTCGACTCAGATTTGCCTACCCTTCGAAACAGGGGTGGACACACACACACACACACACACACACACACACACACACACACACACACACACACACACACACACACACGCACACTTACTGAATCACTGACTCGGCGCCCCTGCACAGCAGGACGGTGAGGCAGGCGCCGGGTCAGGGTTCGTCCATCCGCTGTCAAGTTTAAATCCCTACACCCGTAAGAACCCTTCTAGGAACGCTTATGCAGTCTTCATGTAAGGGAACCCTAACCTCGACTCTTGCTCTGCCAGGGGGGATCGACCACGGCCGCGGCAAAACCACCGGGCCTGGGGATTGAGCTTTTCTGAGGTTGTTATGGGGTTGCGATAACTCTAGGCCTAAGGGATGTTCATGGTGTTTTGTAGGGTTTGGATATTCCACTGGAGAGGAATTCAAGCTTTTTAACAATGTAGTGTGTCAATGATTCTGACAAGAAGAACCGAGCACCACAAAACTTGCTTTGGCCAAAAGAGTCACCTGAAGCTAGCCTGCTGAAAAACACGTAGTTCGAAACACACAGTCGCAAAAACCTTCGCAAGAAGATTCATTCTCTAAATAAGCTAAGTCATTCTCTTCATCACTATCACCTCGACCGTGCAGCCACCCACTTTTGGTTCCCGTCGCCGCAGTCCGGTACACCGTTAGCCGTAACATCCGCAACAGGCACGACAACAACGAAACCGCCATGCCGCGCTCGTGGACCCCAAAGAGCAAGGGACCCCAAAGAGCAAGCAAGCCCGAAGCGACGGAACCCCACCCCGAAATCCAACATCACAATGCTGGCAAGGTCCCCAAATGATACTGTAGGGGCCTTAATAACTAGAACAGAGTTTTGGCGGGATATTTGACTACAATTACAATAAGCAGCCCTCAAAAAAAACATTCTAATTCTCAAGGTCCCAAAATAATACTGTCGGGATGCGGCACGAGGCCAGCGCTTCGGAGTCCATCAGGAGAGCTGAAGATGTCATCCTCTGGGCTATTGTTGAAGAACCTCTTCCGGGTACCATGACATGGATAGATAGATAGATGGATAATGAGATCGGAGAAGCTAAGATAAGCCAAGACAAGATAAGATTATCCACAATGCATGCATATATGCATGTACGTATGAACGCATGCATGTATGAATGCTACTGAATGATGTCCATGTTCTGGCATTCCGAGCTGCGGGTGTGAAAAGAATCGAGAAAGAGTCCGACACACGCGGAGAAGGGCTTTACGGCGACACAGTACTAGACTAGACGATGTCCAATCGCTGAGGCTTTCACCTTACTAGCCGCAGTAACGAAGTGGAACATAGGAAAAACAAGTTTGCACAAACAAACGCGAAGCCTGGTTCGACAACTTTCCTCCTAAACCCTGCATCCCTTCACCCGATCTTTCAACTCGAAGCATGCTGGACCCTTCCCTTCGAAACCACCAAATACACACCAAAACAGCAAATACAAACTCGGCCTGGAGCCAGGAGGTGGATTCAGGCAGCAGAAAGCCACCTGCGAGAGCCTCCTCTGTGGACCTCCGAGCAAACGTTGCAGAGCTTGGGATGTAATGTAGGGCCTAAATAATTACCAAAATTATTCCTGGGGTTCCTTATTATAATAGTGATAATATAAAAAGCCCCAAAACCCGACTCCAACTATTAAGGCCCCTAGATTAGGTGTTGGCTCTTAGGTCATTTAGGGCTTCTAGGGTCCAGGGTTTGACCGGATTTAGGGCCGCGATTTTCGGTTTAGGGTTTAGGGTACCGACGATTAGGGCTTGAGAATCTAAATTTAGCATTTTGGTGTAGTTTGGGCTTCAGGTGCAACCTGGACCTAAAGTTGCAACTGTCTCCGCTGTAGACTTGGGACTGAACGATTGAGCCATACATCCCAAACCCTGAAATTCACGTGGAACTCAATAGCCCAAACTAATCCAAGTGATACATCGGGGCCAAATAGCTCTCTGCACTGCCTCACAGTGTAGGGTTTTGGGTGAGGGTACGGCTCACAACATGCACGAGAACACGAACAAGTCAGGAGGCTGTGTCATTGACGTGGTTGAACTGCGAACACTGGCTTCCGGATTCCGGCGCAAAGGTAAAGCCGAGACCCCAACATCCTCACCGCTAATCCGAAGCCCTGCGCCCGGCCTGCCGCTCATGAATTCCTCGGAAACAGGAGGCGATGCGTGATTGCGCCTTGGCATCTGGGGCAGACGGCCAACGACCCAACCCACAAGCTTGAGCGCAAACGGGTTTAACTGGCATACAACTTATGGACTTATGGTCATTCAGGCTTAATTACGTGGTTTAAGCGGGTACATGTACATTGGATGTGCTTCAGGATTTGTAAAAAGCGGAGCTCTGCTTGCCATCACGACTAACAGTTCTGTTTTAAACTGTCACCGGAATTCCTGCGAGAGCTTCGCCTGCCCTACCCAGTTGCTCGCTAAGAATTACTACAACTTGCGAGGGCGAGCTTGAGCTCCAAGGTGTCGTGCCCTCGGCCCCCGACCACTTGTGGCACACCAAAACTTCGTATGCCCAGCTCACCTCCTGACGCCGGGGGCTCCATACACCTCTGCGGACCGAAACCTGGAGACCTTATGCGCCAAGCCTCGAGCTCTGGACTGTTCAAACTTCTCCACTCCAACCCCCGAGCCCTCTGGTTGAAACCCAGTTACATGGCCTATACGAACCCTATCAAGCCAAAAAATAGGAAATAAACCCCAGAACAGAGATCCAAATCCGCCCAGCCGCTTCACGCAGCATTCCGTGCAATTTTCATGTTCCGGCCTGCGTTGAACGATTGGTACTTCCCCCTCTGACGGCCGATGTTTGTGGTATTGAGGGCCTAGAACCTTAACTCCAGCGGTTGTTGCTGAACTTTTGACGGTTGCATCAAGGGTCTTCAGCTTAAGGCCTGGTGGAACAATAGCTGCGTAGGATGCTTATATAGGAAGCTATTGGCCGGGAGTAGAGAGTCGCAGGCCGGCGCTTAGATGGCCGGGGCACAACATAGAACTGCACTGCATGCCGATCAAGATCTTTGTATTCATGGGAGAGAGAGAGAGAGAGAGAGAGAGAGAGAGAGAGCGAGCGAGCGAGCGAGCGAGGGGGAGAGGGAGAAGAGGGAGAGGGAGAAGAGGGAGAGGGAGAAGAGGGAGCGGGAGAGGGAGAGAGAGAGAGATGAGAGATGAGAGATGAGAGAGATAGAGAGAAAGAGATAGAGAGAGGGAGAGAGAGAAGGCGAGAGCATGCTCGTCGTAGAAACGGATATCCGTGTATGCACAAGGTATGCTTCAGCGTCGACAAGCTCTCTAGAAACTTCAGTCTTCTTCCTCGCTGTAGTTGCGCGAGTTGCAAAATAGCTGGTGAGCACGCATGGCGCTACATTGCAAGGTTCGAAAGCCGAATTCTGTGTCCTCTATGTACTTGCAACACGAGCAGATATTAATGAACAAACACGCTTGGTGCAGTGCTCCTTGTCTGCTGCGCTGCGAACTGGCTCCTAAACTTGAACCTAAGCTTGAGCTTATGGCAAAGCTCGTTCCTCAAGTTACCCTCGGGTGTCTTTCTCCAATTGGTGCTTTCTTTGCGTGGAATTCTGGCATTGTTTATTGCCTGTGTTTGTCCTTTATCTCCCTCTTAGTTTCTGTCCTTATTGCCTCGTTGAGTTGATTCTTTCGTTCTGTCCTTGTCTCTTTCTTCAAGTCATGATTGCTTTGGTTGTGTCCTTCTTTGTTTCTGTCGTACATTATTCATTTAGCCCTGTAGTTCGATCTTTCTGTCTTTCTTGATTGCTGTTTTTCGTTGTTTCTTCGCGTCGTTGGGTTGTCATGTCGTTTTTTCGTTAGTTCTGTATTTATGTAGTTCTTCCCTTTTGTGATTTTTGAGCTCAATCTTTCGCTAGTTCGTTCCATAGTTCGAACTTTCTTTGTCTCGTTCTGGCGTTTTTGTATTGATGTCGTTCTTTCCTTATGTCTTTTCTGAGCGTATCTATGTGGTTCTCTCTTTCTGCCTGTCTGTCGTTTTTTCTTTCTCTGTCTGTATTTATTTACGGTTATTGTTCTTTCATTTCAACTTCCTTCGTTGAGAACTTAATCAGTGTTCTGTCGATAGTTAGTTCTCTCTCGTTCGTTCGTTCGTTCGTTCTGTCTTTCTGCCGGTCTAACTGTCTATCTTTGTGTGCATTTCTTTCGTTTGTTCTTTCTCTCTCTCTCTCTCTCTCCTCCTTTCGTCCTGTCTTTTTGTTGCTTCTGGTTGCTCTGGTTCTGTCTTTCCTCTCGTCGTTATTTCTTTCGTTCCTTCTCCCCTCCTTTCGATCTTCCTGTCGGGTTTCTCTTTCAACCTCCCTCTCACTTTCTCTCTTTCCTTCTTTCTTTCTTGCGCTCTCAGCCCCAACCCGGCTTTCCCCAAAGACCGGCCTCTGCTGGGCATCTTTGGCAAGGCTCTGGAGAAGCCTTCGCGGGAGAAGGGTCCAGGAATTCCCATGTTGGTGTTTTGGGTTCAGGCTCCAGCGCCCGGGGACAATGTCCAGATTTCCGGGTGCTGAGAAGGTCAAGAGAAAGATCACACTGGCTCTTCTGTCGCAGTACGGGTTTTAGGGCACCCTTCGCTGTCAACGTATTCTTCACAGAAAACCGGCGCCTAACGCCATCCAGGAGCATGAACTATGAATCTTCACCAACATGGTCGTGCGAAAACTATGACATGCAGGAAGCCCTGTGCAACAAGATCTATGTTTCGCAAGACCAACCAGTGTATGCAGGTCTTGAGAGACTGAAACCTAATATAGGGGCCTTAGCAAGTAAAATAGGGTTTGGGGCCCAGTATACTATAACTATAATCAGGAACGTCCAGAAAAGAGGAGGCAGTTTTTAAGGCCCGATTGAAGGGAGCAAACTCTGCCGTCTCGTTCCCCGGGCCAGCACATGGACGTTGCAATCCAAGCGGTAGTCTTTGCTACTCATGTAAGACAACCTCCAGCTCACTACCATCCCTTCGTGGCTTCAATGGCCCGGGACTCCGAGCCCAAAGCCTCAGACCCCGAGAAATTCTTTGAGGTCCATGAAAACTGTCAGGTGATCTTCCACAGCCTCGCTTGCTCCGCGGGCAGGGTCTCAGAAGAGAGCCGATTGCTTGTCGCCGCCTGCGGATGGCTGAAATCCGGAAAATGAGGGCTACAAATCCCCACTGGAAACTGGATCCACAAAGCCCTGGATCCGAGGTCCCGAAACTTCCTGGCGTGTGGGATGCTTAGGGTTTAGAGATGAAGGTTGCAGGAATCTGAACCCGAATCTCCGTCCTCCTCTCTCTTCCTCTTCCGAGCCCGAAAGAAGGGCTGGGGGCAGCAGGCGCGCGGAAGAGCCTTGAAGCGCCGGTAATCTGCCGACACCTCAGCAAGTTCATATGCATAATTATTCCTTAAGATGGGAAGCTATATATGTATGTATATATACACACACACATACACATTACATATATCTTGTATATCTTATACTATATTATATTATGTTATCTGTGTATATGTATATGTACATCTATTGATAGATCTTGGGTCTTTAGTGTACTTGTAGAATTAGGGGGTATCGGAGTGTCGGGATATGAGCAACACTGCCCACCTGCGAAATACAGCAAAAGTCAGAGGGTCGTTGGGCTTAGGGTTTAGGGTTTGGGGGTTAGGGAGGCTCTATATACACTGCCATTGTGGAATATGGCCTCAAAGGGCCATGCTCATTATGGTTGTTGTGACCCCGTTGCATAATAGTAGTATATATGGACTCTCTTGGACAGAACCTTTCAACCCTGACCTGCAACCCACACTTGCAAAGTCCCGACCTGCCATACTCCCAATACACACTGATTAGCAGCCTAAAAAGAATACATACGCATGTATGTTACATATCTAATATAGAATGAGACCAATGTCTGAAGTCCTCACCTCAGAAAATCCGACACCACACCGGTCTGGGTGGAAGCCATTGACTAAGAGTAGAGTCGAGTCGAGTCTAGTCTGGTATAGTATAATAGAGACATGAGAATCATCTTAATACACTCCGAAGCGGCTCAATCATCTTAAGAAACTCTGAAGTGCCTGGACGTCAATGTCAAACTCTTGGCAGGCCATGGCTTCGACAGAAAACCCTTTGTCAGAAACGCAGTTGGGAGTCCTTTGACGGTTCATTTAAAGTGCTCCGTGAAGGGGTCTACAATGGTTTCGTAATGAATGGGCCAGCTTGATAAGGTTGCTTTATGGGTTCCCGTAAGGGGTTTCTACGTTTTTGTTCTGTTGTTCTTGGCTGAGGGGTGCTTAGGGCTTAGGGGGTTTTCTGGTTGGGCTTCGGGGTCTGTCTGGGCTTAAAGGGCTTACGGCGATTAGGGCCGTAGTGTCATCCTATGGGGTGGCACGAGACACCCATCTTGTCGGCCTTTTTCCTGATAGCTTTGGCCGGGGAGGCAGTGGCGACATGTCTTGAAATTGGTGCTGTTCCGGACTATTGAGGGTTGTAGGGCAATTTGGGCTTCAGTGTTCTTGAAAGGCTTAGAGTTGAGGGTGACGTTTACCACGTTTACCTCAAACTCCCAACCATATACACGAGCTGCGAGGGCAAGTCACAACATACCTAAACTCTCAACAACAATCACTCCAGAACCGATACGCCCAAACTTTCAGGGGCCGGTTGGGCAGAAGGGCTTTGCGGTCGTCAGATGTACATGCAAAACAGTTCTAGACCATTGCTATCCTTGCCACACATGCTATGGACTAACAGCTCTCTTGAAACAGACCCCACGGCCAAACCTACTGCTGGTGGAGCTCTGTGCGGAGTTCTGGTACCCCAACCGTACACCTACACCGGCAACCCTCGCATAATATAGGGGCCTTAATCTTTAAATAGGGTTTGTGGGATAATTATACTCTGATTACAATAAGGACCCCCCCAAAAATAGTATTGGTAACTATTCATAGGCCCCATATTAAACGCTTCAGAAGGACCCGCACCTCATTTCTGTCAGCCCCCAGAGCATTACCAGCGTTCTCTGGACGCTGGTCTCATCGCTCCAGATGCTTCGAAGGAAACAAGGAAACCCTAAAACAAGTGGTCTTGTTGATTTGAGTTGCTCTTTATTCGCTCCATGTATATATGAACTCTTCAATTATCTACAACTAGGGATTCATGCATGCGGTTAACCATTCGAACCCACGGAGCACCGGGAAGGATCACTCCCATCGGCTGTACAGAGTCAGAGTCAGTCTGTCCCAGGACTGCCCTTGGATGCTTAGAATTTCGCAGCAGCCATGATCCGAAATCACGAAAATATGGGTCTCCAGGGCGAGTGAGTGTCTTGGCTGTATGTGTCTAGGGAAGGAGACATGAGATAACGGAGGAATGCTGGTTTCGTCTTACTTCTTATCTGGGATCTTGCATTTCTTCCTTACGCATTGTGGTGACAGGCGGCTGTCAAGCTTCCTGCTTGCACAGCCCGTGCCTTGAACAACGGTCATGGCACTGCTGCATGCTGCGAGATGCAGAGGAAATTAGCTGAAATATTATTCGGGTTGCACCGGACATGTCCAACAAAACCGATACATGACGTTTTTTGGTGGCATTCCACATATACTTATTGTGAGACTGATTGCCAAATACCGGCTGCAACCCTCCCCAGAAAATACTCTCTTCAGTATTCGTATCTTCGACAGGCACTTTCCCCACGAAAGGCACGCCTGTTTGCGGTCGGCTATAGGGCCGCAGTGCAAATTGCAGCCGAAGCAGGTTTCGAAGTTAGGATACAGAACCTTTGGTTGTAGGGTCTAGGGTGAGGATGCGCAAGTTGAATATAGGGGTCCTCAGGCAGTAACACCTGAACTCTGATATTTCCCGAATATACCGAAATCACGAAGGTCCTGATTGTGAACCCTCCAATTCCCGAAAATTCCTATCCTGTCGCCGTACCCTATATAACGGCCCGCTTTGCAAGCAGTGTTTCGAACAAGTGCAGCACATTTCTGGAGTTAGGGTTGCGGTTGCACAGCTCTGGTCGTTATTTTTTGTGTCTGAACTGAGCTGTAGCCAATTGTTCAAGTTGTTTGAAAACCATCGTTATAGCCCTTAATAAATGAAACCACTACAGTTTCTGGCTATTCAAAGAGAGGGCTTGTCTCGCAAGGTATCCCTGATTTCAAGGCATGCATGGACCTAACTGGGCTTACCTAGCCCGGCTGCCGTCAGCGGACTCTGCCGCGCTCTAACCTGCAGCCCCCAAAAAGGGCCTGCACACCCCTAACTACCAGCAGCTTCTCGGACGCCAAGCCCCTGTAGGCGAAGCAGGGATCATACATATCAACGATCTAGCAGTTTCTGAGACCCTCGGACATCTTGTCCAGAAATACGACAGGGTGTCCTAAGCACAGTGGGAACTAATTGATCTTCATAGTCGTGCTGGTGCGAGAAAAAGCAGTTTCAAGCAGAGCAGCCGTTGTGATGGGACTACTAACCGACCATCTTCTGGGCGGTGAAGGTTGAAGTGTCTAGTAGGGATAGCAGCAGTAATCGTCGTCGTAGTTAGTGTTAGTGGTCGTAGTAAGTAGCAGCAGTAGCAGTAGCAGCAGCAGTAGAATGGCGAGCCGTACCAGTGGCACTAGACGTAGCACTGGCAGTGGCAGAAGCAGCAGGAGTACGAGTAGGAGTAGGAGTAGGAAAAGTAGGTGTAGGAGTACTAGAAGGACTAGTAGGAGGAGGAGTCGGAGCGGGAGTAGGAGTAGAAGTAGCAGTAGGAGTAGGAAATTCGAGTTGTAGTTGTCGTAGTAGTAGTCGTCGTAGTAGTAGCAGCCGCAGGAGGTGTAGGTGTAGGTGGAGGTGTGGGGGTAGGATAAGGAGTAGGAGAAGGAGTAGCAGGAGTAGGAGCAGGAGTAGCAGCAGCAGCAGCAGCAGTAGCGGCAATACCAAGACTTCCTCTACAGCCGCGCGGCTCATCAACCAACCGCAATCGACGAGATGGCCAAGCTGGGGAGATATTGCATCTAGCAGCACAAGTCGGTATGAGCCGGTGTGAGCAATAATTAGACGAAGCAGTAGTAAATCTCGGGAGAACGATGCAAACCCATGGCGTCGCAAACCGAAGCTGCACCGGTGAGACTTCGAGTTCAAATGAATGCGTTGTCCCGCCACCCTCATTTGGAGTCTTTGGGTTTACCAAGCAGGAAGCAACAGTACCACTGCACCAATGCAGCAGCTATAGACCATTGCTTTAGATCCAAGTTCAGGCGCATCCTTACATACCGGTGTAGAATCATGGGGGAGAAGGCATGCCAGAGTTGACTTGACTTCGGGTTTTGCTGCTGCCACTCTTCAGCTGGCAACTTGACGAGTTGTTGCAGTACCACGCTGAGCAGACATATCCGATTGTCGTCATGATGTTGACCATCACAATGATGAGTATGTCATGTTGTGCAGCTTGGCTTAATCTAATTCCTACTGTAGGGGCCTCAATCATTAGAATAACGTCATTATACCATATTGTAACAAGGAACCATCAACATAGCACCAGTATTGGTATCGTTGAGGCCCCTATATTAAACGTCCCCGAAACCCCGCAACACCCCGCACAAAGCCTTTGGGCTTGGAGGGGTCAGGGATATTGCAGGCAAGTAGGGCAAAGCTCTTGGGTTTCACATGAGTCCTAAACCTCTAAACATCCCTAGACTCCGAAACCGTTAAAGGAAAGAGCAGAAAGTTGACTTTTCAAAACAGGGTTGAAATGTCACTTCCTGATGGTAAACCGACGGGAACGGCCCCTCACCTGAAGCCAACAGAGCATCACATGGCCCAACCTTTGGTATTCGCAGACAAATGAGCGGCAATTGAAGCTATGGCATCTCTGACAAGCCATGGGCGCTGTTGTATACTGTTGCCCTGAATCCGCCTTCCCGCCACCTTTGACTAAAAACCTAGGAATCTAGAAACTACCCAATAGCTGCGCTCGTTGCTTTCATGCCATGTGGCTAAGTCTGATGACGATGAGCCATGGGAAACCTACAGCTATGTGTTCTCGCGGGACTTCGAAGATCCTGTAAGCGAACAGAGCACGCACTGCTGGGGTGCGTGCTTCGGTCTTCAAACTTCTGCAGTACCTGGGCTCAGGGACTCAATCCGATGCGTTTCTTCGCTGTCCTAAACCCTGAACCCTAAAACCGTTTAAAGCTTAAGTGATTGGAGTAGCACCCTCACCATGGAGATTCAACCAGGATTTTGTCCAGTAGACGAATAACATGAGCAAGTCCTGAGGCTTTGAAGAAGAGGCGTGTGCTAGAAGAGTGCCCATCTAGGTATACTTGGTCTTGGAAACTGTGTATGCGGTTCGTTAGTGTTGAAGGTGACGCTAGATACACGGTTCCGGTTCCGTTTGGGTATGGCGCAGGCTCCCCCACAGATGTATGCCAGCATGTCAAGCAGCTGAGCCGTAGACAGTATGAGCAGCAAGACGTTGCTGGTCTGTGTAACCTTGGCAGCAAGTGGTCGCTCAGGCAGCTCAAACCTCCTCAATTTGGGCTTGTCGGTTCAAGGTCACGGTCACAGCCAGGGATTGAAAGGTCGGTCCCTTCAAAACCCAGCCCCTTCCCCCATCCATGATCCATGCTGTTGACATGCGGTTGGCTTGATAAAATTAGCAGCCCATGTTCATTTTCCTATATCACGAGAAGGATCCCGCGGTATGCGCATCTGGTGTCTTTTGCATATGAAAACATACGGACACATCGTTCATGTGATTTGGTCCCTCGCATATCTGATGCCAACAAAATCTCTCGGAGAATGCTGAGACTCCGGTACCACTACTGGAAGAACCATCCCTACTCTATGCGCAGCTTCCTCTTCTAACAATCACTATCACTCTTATAGAAGCCTGAAACCCCCCAACCCTATGCCCTATAGCCTCTAAACTATCATTGCTATACAACCCTAAACCCTATCATTCCTACGTAAACATAACTCTAAACCCTACTAGTAGCACCCAAAAAATAGGCCTCGCGGATCCGGGGGCCCTGCCAGCTCTCTGTTGCAGACCTGCGGCGCAGCAACCGCTCGGGCGGTGCCATGAGGTACCGAGAGGCTTACACAGCCAGGACAGCTA